TTTCCTACAATGTTGATACATCATTGTCAATTCTTTGTGGAATGGAGTCTATTGCCATTTTTTGAAGTCATATTCTGCTCCCCTCTTCTGTGAATTAGCGGAGCTTTTATTTCATTGAATTTATGAGTAAAATGGCGGGGTGCGGAGAAAGGAGGGGACCCAAGAAAACCTGCATTGTCACTCTGTCATTTGGAACCTATATGAAATCTAGCTAGAGGACCCGAACATCATGTTTTTGTTGGCTTCCGTTGAGGGCATTCAATTTCGTTGCTCTTGCGGGTTATTTTACTTTGTTTTTTATTTGCTTTACAGTTGCCACGTGCCAGTCGGACTCTGATAGCGAAACATCTGAGGTTGTTGAAGAAGCTAGCGATCTTGGAATTGTGGGTGAAGAAGATTCCCAGGATTTTGGAGAAGTGAATTTTGCTCCAGCTCCCGGAGTTGATACTGTCTGTGTTTTTCCAAAGAATAGTGCACGCAGTAAGTGTTAAGCTAGAATCAGGATTTGGCAATGTATTTTCCTTTTCTTGATTGGTGTAACAAACTTTTATGATATCTTTAATTAACATTGAAGTTTGTGCCTTCCATTACAGTAGTGCCTGCTGGAGAAGAGACTGAACTTCTCGCTGGAGTGAAAAATGATGGTAACTAACTCTAATCTGCTGAACTTTTTGCACCTTTCATACCCAAAAAATAATCACAGGCATCTTTAAACTCAATTTTGTCATCTTCTGATTGGTACTATTTCTCCTGAATACCTGTCCTTGCTATTAATCTGTGATTTGTTTTGTTACTGTAACTATTTTATTATTATTCGTGTCTGTTGGCAACGTGGGTTTTCATCTAAAATTATATTCTAGAATGTAGTGCATTGACTTCTTTGATTGTACTTTGTTAAACGGAGTCATGTTCTAATGTAATAGTCTAGCAATTAAGGGCAGCATTCATTGCACTTTTTATTGCTTACCATTGATCCAACATCTTATTGGTCAATGATTTCCTTGACTATTATTTGTTAAACCAGGTGAATCAAGCTTGAATATTATAGCTATTAAGGCCAGCGTTCATTATACCTTTGATCATCATATGTTGATTCAAAATCTTACTGGACAGGTAATCTGGCCTGACATATATGTATAGTACGATCTTAACTTGTTTTCTTTTTCTTTTATCTCTAATATATTTAAGGAATACAAGCATCTTGCCGCAATTTGATTTCTCAGCGTTTTAATCTCAATCTTTTGAATGACATATCTTATAAAGGAGATTAGTTGGGCAGGTTCAGTTTCACTAATGTGTTTATGAAAGATGTGTGTTATGGCTTTTGAATTTGCAAGTTATGTGCTTCAATTATTACTTGTGGAGAACCTGGTAATCACCTTGAACGTCGTCTAGACCACCTAGAATTCCTTTACTTTGGCCCTTTGGAGTTTGGACGTCATTAATTTAGTTGTATGGAAAAATATTGTTTTTTGTTTCTTTCTAATATATGTATATTTATTTATTTCTTCTTGAAAAAACCCTTTCTTGCCTTTTTCTTCTTTTTGAAATGTTTGTTTGGCTGGTGCTTCTTTTTTCTTGTAGAGACTGTTTTCTGTTGGTGAATATTTTCTAGAGAAAGATATTCCTATTACTCTTTTTGCAATTTGTTTTATATGTCAATGTAAATTATCTTTTTGATATAAAGTTAAGTGTCAACATCAATTATTGAAATTAATCTGTAGTTTCCCTATTAGAAACTCTCTTTAGGGAATTAATTGCTGGAGATATATCATGCTGCTATAGGTTGATTCTTACATGTTAATTGACTGTTCCTTTTCCCCTCAAGATAATATAATATAGGTTACTACTGAAGTTCAACGTTCTCCCTAATTTTTCAATATGGTTTTGTGAGTACAAACTTATTTTTCTGTTATGAACTTCCAGTTATATTCGTGCTTTCCTTAACACAGCTTATCTTTGCAGTAACTTCAGCTCGGTATTTTTAACTTATATCATCTTTCTCATTATACTCGTCAGGTCTTCCACAACGCAACGGTGCACCCATCAACTCAAGCTACTTTCCCATACATATTTGCTGTCAGCAAGTTTTTGCAGGTTTACTCATAATCATTATTACTATTAGTAGTTCCTTGTCCTTACGATGTGAATTTTCAGTTTCTAAAATTACTAACCTGTTTATCCTTATCAATTTTGAAGTTTTATGATTGATGAAATGAAAGAACCTTGATATATTCCTGATGTGCAGCCTGGAAACTTTGATCTAGTGGGCACCATATTTTATGAAGTAAACCAGAATGCATATCAAAGCGTATTCTTTAATGGTACTATTGAAGTCGTTGAAGCTAGTGGTGTCATCAGCATCGAGTCTGTGTTTTTAGTTACTCTTGGAATTGCCCTTCTCGTCCTGCTGGGCTTATGGATTCATGGTCAAATACAGCAAAAACTCTCAAAGGTATATCCTGTAGTAAATGCCTTAGATCTTTTTCGCCTTCATGTAATGATCATCATGTATTCTAATAGTGGATGTTGCCCTACTTATATGTTATATTCTTTTACTTCTTATTACATGCTGATGGATCAATGTTTAGCTCGTCCTAGCGTTAAGGATGTGCAATTTTTTTCATCAAATATGTTATTACTTTTGATTGTAGCCTAAATTTTTGCATTTGACCAAACTTAAAATATATCCGAAGTGGTATTTTACAAGTATTTAGTGGCAGCCTTTTCTTTTGTATTTTAATTCCTGAGTTCAACAACTGCGGGGTGGGTTCGAACATCGACCTTAGGGATAGTAATAGCCATAGGTGTCTTATTCGCTGAGATAGGCATAGCCGAATTGGCAGCGGACTTTTCTTTTGTTATTATCCATGGTCCCTGCCTTCGTACTGAATCTTAACGCTTAAATATATGGAGTTTGAGAAAGGTGGAGCTGCAAGATCTGCATCTTATCTTGTTTTACATACGAATATTTTTGGCGTAAAATCATATGCAATTCCATGTTTGTGTCAGAAAACCAAGAGGGCTGCTTCGAAGGTTGAAGTGGGAACGAAAACTGTAGATACCTCAATGGATGAATGGCTTCAGGTTTGTACCCTTTTTCCCTGAAATTCATTTTTGTCTTGTCTAGAGAAGATCTCAAAACTGCTGCTGATATATTGTGTGATCTTATCTCTTCTTATTCTTAGGGAACTGCATACAACCAGTCCCAATCAAACAAGTCAAAGAAAAAGAATTAACCGAGGACTCGACTCGTCTCCATCCCAGTTGCATAGTACACTAACAATGTGCAGATTCCTGCAACTCGCGTTAGGCAGTTGAAGATTTGAGGAGAGAGTTAAGGGTTTTGACTAGTTTTGGAACTTAGGTGCGTTAAACCCTTCCTTGCCGGTGTAGCATGTCAAAGAATCCTTCACATTCTGCATTTCTTAGTGCCAATCTAAACTAAGTTTGAAATGATACAGTTTTCTGAATCTAGAGAATTTCCTTGAAGCATATGATTATCAAAGTTTAATCTTCTAGACTTTCCTTGGCACCCTTTTTCTGTATGCATCACGGTTTCGGCTTCGTTGAATCATCAATGTAGCGGGGCATGCAGGTTGACGATTTCTCTTGGACAACTCTGACCTCTACTTTACTGGAAAGTTTTGCTCGTTCGACATCTGTGTTGATGTCGTGTCGTGCCGACCTTTCTATTAGACTTTTAATTCGCTAAATATCAGTTTTTTCCCTCATTAAATTGCCCCATGTGATGTCTTGGCTGGTACCTTTCATGCTTGGATGTAATATGGAACAGAATTTGATTTTGTGAGGAGAAAAATGGAGAATTGGTTGAATTGCTTAAGAGTTGGGTAAAGATTATTAAATTGGACGTGATTGGGAGGCCATATGCCAGCAAGGAAAGAAATCAATGAGATTGGGTCTCCTCTTCTTTGTAGTGTCTGGATTTTCTTGTTTTTCATTTTCTAGTTTAAATAAAAATTATAATTTCTCAAATCTAGCCTATTTATTTGGAACTTGATGCCCTTTGGCTCTATTATATTGCATAAAATATCATGGGATGCAAATGCTACCTGTAATGTTGTTGCTCCATTAATGCCGGTGGAAGATAACCATCGTGGATTGGTCTAGTGGTGAATTCTAATGTCTTTAACGCCACAAATTTTGATGGCCACTCTCTGTGATGTTGAAAACTTTTCGAGTTTTGAATTTTCTGATGTATTTTGTGAGATTAGTTGGGCGATTTGGAGGGGTTGGACAACAATTCGGTCCATGATATGTGACATAGTTTTTGGTCGATTCTATCTGTTTGTGGGTTTTTCATGATATTACTGTAGAATTTGTGTTCTTATGAAGCTAAGTACGTATGTAGAAGCTGCGAAAGACTCCGAAGCTCGTGATCATGCCATTGATTCGCTCGAGCTTCTTTTATTTACCTTGGCTTTAACCAATTGAACAGGTTGGATCTCCCTAGTTCTTGAAAGTGGAGAGGACTTCATTATCTCATTAGAGGGATTAATGCATAGAACATATTATAAAGTTTTAAGAAACGTTGAAGGGATTTTAATCTCAACTGTGACCTCCTTTTCTGTCTAGCCTGAAATGGGTAAAGAACTAAGATGATTAACTAAGGTGGAAGTCGAAATTTCTCGATACTTCCACGACATTCTTAAATAAAAGAAAAGATGTACGTCTCGTATCAATATCAACCATTTAGAAATATGAAAATATTGGTGTAGAAAAAACTTCCATTGTTTCTCAAGGTGTCGATTCATCAACTCGATGCTTGTGATTTATCCTTTTTTGTACTAGCACAAGTCACATTCTTGAACCTAACTCACTTATTACACAACGCCTTTGGTTCACATGTTACCAACTAAATTACACTGTGTAATGATAGAAATGTCTCTAGGATTTATACCTTGTATAAATCAAACACATATGTTCATTCCTAGCCACAAGGAACGTTCAAATATAGTCACAAAATCAAATGACTACAAGAGGCTCCAATCTAGCACCAAAATGCAAAATCAAATGACTACAAGAGGCTCCAATCTAGCACCAAAATGCATAAAACCGACAAAAATAAACTCTCATTAGCTCAACTAAGAAGATTATATTGTTTAGCAGTGACAACTCAATTGATAAAATTTAGTTTTCCACTTGCCCCCAAGGGGGAGTTCAGTTGGCAAGGACTTGGGATCTCTTGATCATACTGACAAATTCGAACTTTTTAGTGAGCTTAATATCAAAAGCTCCTATATCTCTCGGATCTGGACTTTGGGGCGGGCGCAGGTGCCCCTACGTATAGGAGAGCAGAGCTCCAACTCCCAATAATAATAATAATAAATAGTTCTCCATTTGCAGCTTAGCTTTATCAGAAAAAACGTCTAATAATAGAGGATATTGGAGGGTAAAAATTCAAGAAAATAAAGAAAACAAAAATGAAATGCAGGCCAACATTCTTATTTCTAAAATTAACCTCAATAATGAAGAGCATATAATATCTTTGGTAGATGGGTAAGTAGGTTTGAGATTTAGCAGAGTAGCTGAAGTTATTGAATGCCATGAAAATGTGCTAATCAGAACACTAAATCCCCCAAACAACTTGGACCCCATTATCATGTGAGGTCCATAAGTCTACTGTCGGTGCCCCCTTCAAATTCCTATAAAATCATCCATTTGAATTCACTGTTTTGCAGTCTTCTCCCCCTCCTTCTCCATGCAGAACCACTCCTGTTTGTTCCTCTGTGTTCTCTTCCTTTTTGCTGCAACTTTCTGCCATGGCAGTGACTTGACAACAGTTGAGGTTGTTGGGTTTGGAGAATGTGCAGACTGCCACAAGAACAACATTAAGACCTCCCATGCCTTCTCAGGTTCATTTCTCATTTACTCAACTCACCAACCAAAAAATTTCCATTTTCAGTGCTCTCGTAGTATCTATACTAATTTCTGTTCGATCTCGTATCATTTTTAAATAATGTTAACGTGACTTACCATGAGTGAGAGCAATATCCTCATTCTCTGATCCCTTTGTCAGCTCTTTTACTTCATTAAAGTTTGGATTTTTGTTTTTTTGTCATGAAGTTTTTAACTTGAGTCCAATGCAGGGCTTCGTGTAAGCATTGACTGCAAACAAAAAGATGGAGACTTCAAAAGAAAAGGGGTGGCACAGCTTGATGAAGAAGGAAGATTCAAAGTGTTGCTTCCAACTGAGGTCTTGAAAGATGGAGAATTGAGGGACGAGAAGTGCTTTGCACAGCTTCACAGTGCTTCTTCAGCCCCTTGCCCCTCCCATGGTGGCTTGGAATCCTCCATGATCGTGTTCAAGTCCAAAGATGAGGGGAAGCAGACCTTTGGCTTGCCTGGTGGGCTCAAGTTCAAGTCTGCAACTTGTGCCTCTGCCTTCTTTTTGCCTTATTTTCATCACCCTCCTCTGCCTCCTCTCTATTTCCCTCCTCATCCCCCATTGTTTACCCATCCATATTTCCATCACAAGTTCTTCCCTCCTAAGGCCTACCCCCCACCCACCCCAGAAGAGCCCCTCCCTCCCCCAGTCCCAGAAAAGCCTCCACCCGAGCCGCTTCCACCGCCGGTTTACAAGCCGAAACCGCCAAAGCCGCCTGTTTACGAGCCGAAACCACCAAAACCACCCGTATACGAGCCGAAACCGCCGGTCTACAAGCCAAAGCCACCAGTTTACAAGCCAAAGCCACCAGTTTACAAGCCACTGCCACCAGTTTACAAGCCACTGCCTCCACCAGCACCAGTTTATAAGCATCCATGGTACAAGAAACTGCCTCCAATTCCAAAGCTTCCACCATGTCCTCCAGTTCCCAAGGTCACCCCTGTTGTTGTTCCTCCAAAGTACTTCTCCCACCCCAAGATTGGGAAGAAGTTTCCTCCACTGGCTCCTTCTGTTCCACACCCTTGATTAGAACAAGTCTGCAGAACTCTAATTAATGTGTTTGGGGAAGATGAGTGCTCTATATATATATATATATGTTTGAATTCTTTGCTATTTGTAAGTAAGGCAATTGGTTGGTGTTGTAGTGTATATTAGCTTCAAAATGTTGTTGGATTGGTGCAATAAGGTCTTCAAGTGGAGATTCACAAGAAGAAACAGATTCAGAGAAAGAGAGAGATCACAGATGGTATATTTGTGGAGTTTGTATAATTTGTTTTGCATTGTAAAATTGTTACATGGAATTTGGCTAAGTTTGTTGTTTGTTGCTGCAATGTTTCTTGAAGATTTCTAAGTTTATTAGCTACAAATTTGATCCATGCATGAACATAAAGCTCAAAAATCAATGGTTTAAAGCTATTTTCAATGTTTTGGATATATGGTTTTGGTGTTTAAGTCTTTTATCCTTTTCTATTTTGGTTGGTGTTAGAACTTTTTAATGCTTTTAATCCTTGAAATATTACCCATATTTCCTTTTTTATCTTTTAAATTTTAGAATAGATTAAACATGAACATAAGTCTCTTCAATGATTGTGCATCCATGCAGTTCTTGTTGTTAACACCATTATGTAAAGGATGATGTGGAGTGATTATTTGAAAAATGTTGACTAATTTGGTATGATATAATGGATAAATGAAAAAAAGAAAGGGAGTAATTAAATAAAATAAAGTGGCAGGATCTATAAAAAAAGATTTGATATGTTAGCTTAAAAAAGATCGGACCCAAAATAATAGTAAATCTAGTTCAAACTAAAAATATTTGCAAACATAATACAATTTTTGAAGAAAACCCCATTAACATATCTCAATCTCACATCTATCACGTATAAACGTTTACAAGTGTCTATTAGTGACATACGTGAGATACTCTCTAGGTATTAAAAAATTCTCGTTGACGGACCTGAACGAGAGTTTGCTCTTATCCAAAGCTTCACTTGTTAAGAACAAGTGTACCCTTCATACCCCGAGTATCTCTACAATGGTATGATATTGTCCGCTTCGGGCATAGCCCGCACGACTTTGCTTTTGGTTTCACCCAAAAAGCCTCAAACCAATGGAGATAATTGTCATCTCTTACATACCATGATCATTTCCTTCCCTAGCCAAGGTGGACTTTGTTTGCAATCACCTTATAAACCCAACAGGTCACCCAAAAAAAAAAGGGTATAAATATGGAAACTTCTCCACCATTTGAATGGGACGGTTTAGATGATATAGGAAAATTTTACTCCTCATTGGAAGAATTGGCATCCTCGAGTGCTCACGTATATGCCTTTTAAGTTTAGGAAATGAAAATGGAGTTCTACTTCCTTATGAAACTTAGTTTTAGGTTTTAACCCTCCCCTTAAGACGAAACAAGAAGCAAGGACCGATATTAGTGAATGCTCGTAACATATTTGCTTTCTCGATATCAGTTATTAAGAATTCTTTCTTCCTTTTGGTAGGGTTAAATTCTTGCTGGAAGCACATGAAATATTTAGTTCAATTGCTACTCATAAAATTCGTACATATTGATATTATAAAAAATTTCAATAATGTTTCAACCAAAATCAACTATGGCAAACAAAATTAAATTGTTCCATCAAAAGGAAGATTTGCATCAACCACTCTCATATTTTATTGCTAGGATTTCATACTCCCAATAGATTCAATGAGTTTACATCTAATCAAAGAGTCCAAAATTTAGAAAAAAAAAAGAGTTTGAAAAAAAAAACTACCTAAGAATATAGCTCAATCATAAATAACATTAAATAACATTTATTATTATTATTATTTTTTAAGGCGTTGAAAATTCAAAGTCAATGTTTAGATTTCTATATAACAACAAGAGTCTATTTTTCACAAAGTACTTATTTGATTTCGAGAATCGAATAGAGTAACAACATAAACCCAAAATTTTCTCTTCTAATTATGTTTTTAATCTTGAAATTTACTACTAATGGGTGAAGAAGACTCCTACTTTATCCACAAGAAAAAGTGCAAAAAGAGACAAATATATATTGAAAGAGATGATTTCAACCTTTTTTTTTCTTTTTTTTTCCTTCTAAAAGTTTTGTTATTATCAAGAATCTAAATGCTTAAAGGGTTGAAAAATATTCACCGACACCCTTTAATAATATTATAAAATCTCAATATCATTTTTGAAAAATATTTCTAAACTTTCAAATTTATTCAGAATCCATAATTTTCAACTTGAAAAAGAATCGGTGTGATTCTAAACTTTTTAAAATATTTATTTTAGTTTTTAAATTTTAAGATGTGAATTTTGTCCTAGATTTTATTTTAAGAAATCACTTTTGTTCTTTTTTCTTAAATAGTTCAACAATTATGGAGATGAAAAATCGAACTACAAGGGAAATTAGTGTTTTTGAATTGACCAATTGACATTTTGGTTATTGCTATTTTCTTCCACCTGCTCAATACCAGCTTCAACCAACTTATGTGACTCTATAATACATTCCCGTGTGAACAAAATACTATATTTGAAGTCGTGTTATCATTTGTTAAACAAATTATGACAAAATGATGACGATAACCTATCTTATATTTTTTTTAAGTTTAAGGGCTTAAACAAACATTTTAAAAATTTATAGAAAAAATATGTAATAAATCTAAAAGTTTAGTGACTAAATACTAAATAGACATTTTGAGAAGAAAAAAAAATCAAAACAAACCTTAAACTTTCATTTTATTGCATCAATCACATTTCATTCAACAGGGTAACATTAAAAAAAAGCAAATCAATCCTTAGATGCTTATCGGTTCATCACCTATATTTGTCATTATTACTAATAAAAGTTCAACCATTTTCAAATTTTTTGAAAAAAACAAAGAAAAATATATCTTTTTCTGTATTTCTCTCTCCTACTTGTCAAATCTTTTAACGGTAATCAATAAAATATAAGTGATTATAGTCTTATAGATAAACATTTAAGTATTTTTAGTATCTCAATCGTCAGCCTACTCGAAAAAAAACATAAATATTATTCAAATGTTTCTTTTTTTCCTATATAAATTTGCAAAGGGCTAAAATAATTATTCCTATATGTTGATTGGAGCCCTTCTTTTATGGATGCTGAAATGATAGCTCTTTTCAAAAGAAAAAGCTATGGTCTATAGTCATAGAAGCTAGATTTTTTTTTTCATCCTTTTGAGACATTGGCCTCCATGTTTTCCTTTTCTTGGAATAAGAATTACTTTTTTTCTTTTATGAGGGGCCTACCCATATACCAATTTTATTCGGATTGAATTTGTTTTTTTATATATATATTGATATACTTAGAATTTTATATTTAATCGAGAGTTTCATAAATATGGACTCATTTGATATCATTGAAATCTAGAACAAAGTACGTACAACAATGTAAATGAAAATGGTTAATGCGGGATTTTGGCAAGATTACACGTCAGCACACGAGTCAAGGAGAATTCCTGATTAGATGAGATGACGACTTGTAAATAGGATCTCGCACCAGTGTGAAGCTCAACAATGTACACTCCGAAACTTAAGTTAGAACTTACTTCGAGATGAGGTTAGTTAGGTTGTGTGAAGATGGTGTACTTTTGTAAGAATGGACTCCACCTTTTAATGGGGAGCTTTGGGAAGTTTTGTCCTACCATTTTAACGCCTCATACTTGATGGTCAACAAATTTTTTGCTAGAGATCGGGGATCATCTACCAACAACATTCACATCTAGAGTCGAACATGAGTTGAACTTGCACTTAATAGACCGAGGAGTTTTAGACCAGCTTCTTCTTTGTCTTTTGAGGCCCATAAACGTGTTCTAGGACGAGAGATCTGTGTGGCATGTCCTCATCTGTGCCCTAACAAAATCAAGCTTCCTCACAAAATGACCTTTTCCAACCAAATAATCTCTCAATAGGTAATAAAAAGAGTGAAAACATGTCTTAACATCATACGAACTGTATAATCAATAGGGTCCTTTATACGAGTTTCCACTATTTCTAAATAGTCTATTAAACAATCGTACCATTGCCCACTAAAATTATTAGAATCAACAAAATTCTAATACATTATTCAAGAATTCATTATTTTCAGGGGAAAAAAAAAACCTCAAGATTTCATTGCTCTTTCTTCTTCCTGTTTATCGACACGTCGTCTAGAAGCCAAACGTATCCATCCAACGAAGACCGCTTCGTCAATGGGCTTTTTTCGCATCCGTTTCCTTTCCGCTAAACGAAATATCGTAGAAATTATTATTTTATAATTTTCTTTAAATTGAAAAATTGCACGCCGTTGGATCAAACGACGTCGGAGATGGAAAACGGAAAAAAAAAAAAGTCTATTGATTCTTAATCATGATAGGGAAATTAACCGCGGGTTTTCTTAACCTAACCATGGTTAGATTCATGGCTCTAAGATCAGACCACGTGTCTCAATCCAACGGCCAGTATCGAGTTTCCATAGATATACACGAAGCTTGACCGCTATATAAGGGCTCTTGCCCCACCGAACCCTAAATCAATTCGGTCTTCTTCTACGCTGTGAAATTTCGTAACCGTGAGAGAATGGCAAACCCTAAAGTTTTCTTCGATATGACTATCGGCGGCCAGCCGGCCGGCCGTATTGTGATGGAGCTTTATGCCAACGTCGTCCCCCGCACCGCCGAGAACTTCCGTGCACTGTGCACCGGCGAGAAGGGAAACGGCAGGAGTGGGAAGCCACTTCATTACAAGGGCTCATCCTTCCACCGTGTGATCCCTGGTTTCATGTGCCAGGGAGGCGATTTCACCGCCGGAAACGGCACCGGAGGTGAGTCGATCTACGGCGCCAAGTTCGCCGACGAGAACTTCGTCAAGAAGCACACTGGCCCTGGCGTGCTGTCCATGGCGAATGCCGGACCTGGAACCAACGGATCTCAGTTCTTCATCTGCACCGCCAAGACCGAGTGGCTCGACGGGAAGCACGTCGTGTTCGGCCAAATTGTTGACGGCATGGACGTTGTAAAGGCCGTCGAGAAGGTCGGATCGAGCTCTGGAAGGACCTCGAAGCCCGTCGTAATTGCCGACTGTGGCCAGCTCTCTTAGATTGATGCCTTGGCTCTACCGTCGGCGTCTCCGGCGGAATCGTATCTATGAACATTTCTTATTTGCGTGTGTTATTTCAACTTACTGCGAATATGGGTCTGTGTGGGTCTCTCTTTTAGGGTTATGGGTCATGGGTTTATGCTACTTCTTGAGTTTATGTGCAACTGCCGTTTTACCTTTCTGTTAAATGGCGGTTTCGCGATGGTTCGTAGACATAATTGGTTGTTCAAACCGAGGACCTTCAATAATATGCCTGTCTTTTTAACTTTCTCCGATATAGCTCTGTGATCCCTTCTCTCAACTCTTGCCTAATCATCTGATCATTCATTCTATGGTGAAATCAATCACGAACCCATTAGAATGATGGATTTTACTATGAATCCATTGACCTAATTAGATTGTTTTGTTTGGCTGAACTCATTAGTACTTGAATCCTTAACCCCTTTCCTGTTTGATCTGTTGATCTAATTGAGATACTAGATTTTGTTTGGCTCATGATGAAATGGGCAGCAAAATTTAGTCAATTGAAGTATGATTGTTTATTAAGATTTCCTTCTTTGTATTATTGTGGTTGATTTTGAAGGATCAGTCAGCGAGAAAAGCTTGTTTTGGAGAATGGAGAGCAGAGGGCCATGGCTAATGTTATTTGTCTGTATATGGTGCCATGGAAGCAGGCGGTGGAGGAATATTTTATGGATTATGCTTTTTGATTCTGTGGAGTTGCTAGAAAGAGGCTGAGATCCTGATTTTGGGGATCTAAGTCTTGATTTGAACAGGACTGAAGAAAAAGGAAGGCCATTCAGATTTTATATAATTTGAATCAAAGATTCTTGCTAATGTTTTTGAATTTGAAATAAATCGTGGGTTTTAATTTGTTTTTTTGTTTGTTGAATTTTGGTTATGACGAGGCTTTGATTTCCACTTTATAAAGCTTTTTCGTCTATCCTTCTTTAGTTGGATTCGGTTGTTTGGACTTTTATTTGAAAGTGAGTAAGAACATAGAAATTCCTTTTACTTTTATTTTTAGATGATATTTGGGGTATGAGTTTGATTTGTTTTTTGTTTGTTAATATACGGTAAACAAGTTGGTGAAGGTTGTCTAATTGAATCTAATTATATTGTTGATTTATTCCAGTTGAATTAGTCAATTTCGAATTCTGCAGTTGGATAAAATCTTTACCAAGTATTTCACCATATCATTGAGAGACTAAAAACGATCATAATTTTTTTGTTTCAAAAAAGGAAAAGAAATCGTAATTCTGAATTAAATATTTAATTAGAAAGTTCTAGAACTGTTATTATTCTTTCTTTTTTAAGTGAAGGATTTGATTTGATTTGGCTTTTTTTTTTCTAAGTTATTCGCTAAAAGATTTAGATGCTAAAAGTAAAAACAACGTTCTTTCAGGAATTAAAAACAATGATTTTATAGGCAATAATTTTATCCCATAACCAAATAGATATTGCTATGATCTTTTTTTGTTTAAAAGAATAATATCAAAACCTTTTTGTTAACTCTAGTTATTTTTGAAGCATCAGCTAAATTATATAAAATAAAATAAATACGAAGTTACAATAATAAGAAAAAAAAAAGATATGTATATAATATATATTTTTTGAAAAGAAAAAATATGTAATTTTTTTATTAGAAAGAATATAAGGTTTAAAAATTTATAAAAATTACCTCATTTATTTTGGTGATATCTTTTAAAAAATTAAAAGTTATAATATTCTTATAAAAACATATTTATTTTATGTCATTTTACATTTAGTGTAATTTTCCTAAAAAATATTTAAAAGTATATATATTTGAGAACATAAAAATATTTTTAAATACGTAATGCAATTTTAAAGACAAACTGATTTAATAAAATAAAATAAATAACAAAAGATAGTTAATTTAACCATTGACTTTAAAAATGAGCTAATAATACATAATTTTATCTTTCAATTTTTTAGAAGTCGTCAACCATAGTACAGCATGTGGGGCTAAGACATCGAACTCACAACATCTTAATTGAAATATATGCAAATTACTGAGCTATGTTCGTTTTGACAAATCCTAAATATTTTTGAACCTCTATCATTTTATTAATGATTACCTTAACTAGTTGAATTATGTTCAGGTTGACCTCATTCCCCTCGACTTATCGGATTCATTTTGTAGTTTAAAACATTAGTGCTACCAAATCTAACATGACTCATGACAATATGGCATGCCACATGTGCTACTTTACCAATAAAACAATAACTAAGTGACCATTTTATAATAAAACAACTCAATTGAGAAAAATTAATCCTCTAAGAATAAAATTGAAAAAAAAACAAGGGGATTATATTTACAGGAGGTAACGAGTAATACTTTTGCTGTAATAAAAAAAAAAAGAAAAAAAGAAAAAAGACCAATTCATTAATTATTTTTCAATTGAGAAAAAAGAAAAAAAAGCAACCGTGTACCGTAGACTGTAGTCCCTTTTTTTGGAAAATTTCTTTTTTTATCAAAGAGATTAAAGTGTCCACTATGCAGTGGACACGTTTTACTAATTTTATGTAAAAAACCAGAGCCTTTGTCCCTTTAGAAAAATGGGGGAAAAAAATTAAAAAAAAAAAAAAAACTTCCGACAAGACGAAGAAGCCAGTGCGCTGCTTCGGCAACATTTTCAGATCTCTCGATCTTCTTTCTCGTCGGAGTTTTCTTTTTTTTTTTTTAATTTTATTTTTTTTCCTTCCGGCGCTCCCCTGGCCTTCTTCGCATTGCCTTTCTTCCAATTCTCGTAACTCGAGATCTTTTTTCGGCGGCAAATTTGGTGGCCCCATCACTCTTAATCTGCATTGGGGAGCAGGTTTTTGATTGGGTGCTGTTTTTGTTTTCTTCTGCGGTTGTTTGAATTTCGGAACGCGACTTGATTCGGGCGGGAATTCGAGGGAACTTTTTGATTTTATTTGATTGAGGCTGAGAGAAATCTATATCGCCTTTGTGCGCGGCTTCTGCATTTCTTTGAGAGAGAGAGAATGAGGATTTCGGAAAATACGAAGGGTCTGGTGTTGGCAATGGCGTCGAGTGCATTTATTGGATCGAGCTTTATCTTGAAGAAGAAAGGGCTTAAGCGTGCCGGTGCAACAGGGGCGAGAGCAGGTCTGTGATTACGATTCACGAATTATTTTTGGCTTGTTGGTTTTGCTTTTGCCTTCTGATTGAATTATTCTATCGATTGTATTTGTAGGTTGGATGCAATCTGATTAATTTTGAATTTATTTCTTCTGCATTTGCTTTATGTCAGAACTTTTGGGTTTTTTGACCTGGGATTGTTGTAAATGTTCTCATAATCGAATGTAAGAGATGAGGTCTTTGATTAGACTCGGATTTTGCTGTAGTTAGATCCGTATGGACTTTTCTTCTTGATCTTTCGAACGGAAGGAAGCTTTAAGGGTTGGGATTGGTTTCTCCAATAGGTCATTGATTCAGAGCACTATCAACCATCTCTCGGATCTCAAACGTTTTGGAGGTGGAAGCTTTAAGACGTGGCATGCTTAACACATGCAAGTTGGACGGGAAGTGGTGTTTCCAGTGGCGGACGTGTGAGTAACACATAAGAACCTGCCTTTGGGAGGGGAACAACAGCTGGAAACGACCGCTAATACCCCATGTGCTGAGGAGAAAAAGTAGCTAGTTGGGTTGGGATTTGAGGTTCTTTATGAACTGGTATTTGACTGAGCAAGCGTTAAGCTGTAAATAGAGTTAAAATCCTCTTAATGAACCAAAAAATTTAAAGATCTTAAGCTGTATCATTGCTTGATTTATTTTTTCACTTCTCTGTCATTGCTTCTAGTAGACGTTTAATTCAAGAGTCTCCCAGGCAATGTTTCATGCTCTCTAACTGGTTGATGTTTCTAATCTTTTTCTTTAAACAGGTGTTGGCGGTTATACGTACCTGTTAGAACCACTTTGGTGGGCTGGCATGGTTACAAGTATGTATAATAATACTACTATGTCTGATCATTATTGTCGAAACTCAAAAGTATGATCTTGATTCTGAGTTTTCTTCTTGGTAACTAGTGATTATTGGTGAGATTGCAAATTTTGTTGCATACATTTATGCCCCAGCAGTTCTAGTCACACCCCTCGGCGCACTGAGTATTATTATCAGGTAAGTTCCTTACTTTTGAGATTCTTGTATAATTTTTGTCTAGTTTAAGAATTGGTCAACTAGTTCATGGGGAACCTCACATTGTTTCTGGATCTATGCAGTGCTGTTTTGGCTCACTTCTTGTTGAAGGAGAGGCTACAGAAAATGGGTGTTGTAGGGTGTTTATCCTGTATTGTAGGATCAGTTATAATAGTTATCCACGCACCTCAGGAACGTACTCCTGATTCCGTTCAAGAAATTTGGGATTTAGCAACCCAACCAGGTTAGAGCTTGTTCTTATAACTTTCATTTATTGAAATGTTATCGAATTTCGTACTTATTTCTTTTTCTTTTTAATCCTTGGACAGCTTTTCTAGTCTATGTTGCTGCTACAATTTCGTTAGTATTGGCTCTTATGTTGTATTTCGAACCTCGCTACGGGCATGTAAACATACTAGTCTACTTGGGAATCTGTTCTTTGATGGGCTCATTGACGGTAACTTTGACATTTCTGCTACATCAATAGATGTCTATATATATTATTTGAAATTTGAATCAAAATTTTCTAAACGTTTGTGATTTGTTCAGGTTATGAGTATTAAAGCTATTGGAATTGCGATAAGGCTTACACTTGAAGGGGTAAGCCAGGTAGCTTACCCTCAGACTTGGCTTTTTCTCACAGTTGCAGTAGTTTGCGTCGTCACACAATTAAATTACTTGAATAAGGTTGGTGTCATGTCAATGGTGGGGACAGTTATTTCTTGTTTCTTCGTGGTGACCGTTCTAGTGTTGGGTGAGAACCGGTGGCTGCTCACCCTCCGAATTGAACGGTCAGTACGAAGGTTAAAGACCCGCGCGTTAGCGAAGCTAGAGCTTAACCAAATGCTTGAATGGGATGTATTTATATTAAATGGATACGGTCTTTTTTTTGTTTCAGGCATTGGATACATTTAATGCAGCACTCGTATCTCCAGTATATTATGCTATGTTCACGACATTGACTATTGTTGCTAGTGCTATCATGTTTAAGGTAAATTACTTGACCCTCTATAGATTCTTTGATCTTGTGTATTATGCTATCCATACAAGTGAAACAAATGAAACGTCTAAAAAAAACTGAATGTAGCTTGATTAAGCGGGTTTATGCTACAGGACTGGTTGGGCCAGGACGCGAGCACAATAGTATCTGAATTATGTGGATTCATAACTGTCCTCTCTGGAACTATTATACTTCATTCAACCAGAGAACAGCCGCCAGTGTCCACACAAGGTATGGCATCTAAACATCTCTTTTACATTTCCATGTTTATGATCAATTGAGAAATCTTAGTATGGTTCGATATCCACTCTTTTATTGCGGAATCCCGTACTACGAACGAATTGGTTGAGTGTATGTCTGCTCATATGAAGTGCATAGCGTTAAGAAGTGTAGTTATGGTTATGGCATCTATCTAGCGTATCTGAATACCGCGATTGGTTCTTCTTTTGTATATGGTATCGTTTGGCAAAATATGGTCCTACACCCACCCCTCCCATGACAAAAAGGGGTCACATAAGAAAAACATAACTTTAATTTCTACCGGACATGGGATGATCTAGTGGTCAATAAGGGGCAATGTGAATAGCAAAGAGCTTAGAAGGAATGGGTTCAAACCATGGTGGCCTACGAGTTTCCTTGTCAACCAAATGTAGTAGGGTCAAGCGGTTGACCCGTGATTAGTTGACGTTCACACGAGTTGGCCCGGATACATGGATATCGGGGGGGAAAAAAATCAACTTCATTTAGTTGTTTGTTTAATGTGGCAGTACTGCAAATTGGTAGTAGAACTTGCACAATGCTAGAGACATCATGAGTTATACTTTCCTTTGCAGGATCTGTGGCATGGTATATTGGGGATTCAATGAAAGGTATTGAAGAACATTTGATCACCATAAGCAATTCACATTACACTGAAGAATGAAACTGGTTCTGTTCTGATTGTAATTTGGAAGGCAGTGGTCTTGATGCAAAAACCGAAATATATACTCGTACTCGAAGGATGAGTACGATGCCCAATTTTTCATGTCGGGACAACGTATTGACATATCGGTCATGGTCTTGTCAAGACTCAAGACCTACCATCCTCTCAGTCTCGGCTGCTGCAGCAAAAGGTTTAGCGTTGAAACCCGAGCTGCTCGACGATCCAATTAGGATATTTACAGTTAGAATGGTGGGGGGAGGCTCAATGATTCATGCTGGTTCCAGCATGAATGATACAGCATGTGCCATATGTAAATGCATTGGTTAACATTCATTCATTTGATCTGTAATTTCTATTTTTGTAAAAGAAATCTCAGGACCTTTCCCCCTTCATGGAAGATCCATCTATCTAAAGTTTGAATCTGTTATTTTTATATCATTTCATTTCAGTTTTCAAGCTGCTTAAAAAAAAGTGATTAATAATAAATCGGGTCGAAGACTTTTTAAGTGCTTTCTTAATAAGTACTTGGGTCAAAAACACTTCCAATGGCTTCTTTATGGACCATTTTTAACTACTTTTGATTTTTTCTTAAAGCACTTATAAATTACTTTCAAATATGATAATTTTGAATGTGAAATGTTTCTGATCGTGATAAATTAAATGAGCATTTCATTGTAACATTATTTTTTAATGAATAATATTTATGGTTTTAACTAGAAAGATTAACGAGCATGACATGTAAACATTTTATTAGTGGTGTTAATATGATGGAGACTAAATAATTTTTTTTTGAAATAGATTAAATAAAAATATAACCTACTTATATTAAAAAAATATATAAATATAACCTAAGTAATTTCTAAAAAGAATTGAGAGATTAAGTTGAAATGATGGTTAAAATTTAATCCCCTAACGTAAACACGTTTTTGTTACTTTTGAAGAAAAAACTTGAACAATTTTTTGTGCTTAGTTTTATTAAAGAAATAATTAAATAGGTAAAATTTTATGTTAAATATTAATTTTCTCTCCATTCAACAATATCGTGATGATTTGAACCTCCGATAATACCTTAACTAATCGAACTCACGTTGACATGTTAAATATTAGTTTAAGCAACTAATATAATTTTTAATTTTCATTCTTATTCATTTAAAAGTATCAATTAGGCTCTTTTTATTAAAAAAAATTATTTATAAAAATTTGGTGGATAAAAATTTTATTTGATTAAGATAGTCGGACATATAAACAAATTACTCAATGTTACAGAATGTACGAAATCTAGTTTGTCATCCAAAAAATTCAACCCGTTAGTCAATAAAATCATTTTCCAAAATGACAGGTCCATATCTCTAAATATGAAAATAAAATAATAATCTAAGGACAATTTTTTTTATTAACAAATTTTAAATGGAGTAAAAGGATTATCAACTATTTAATATACTTAGCTTAAATATTAATTTTGTTACATTTAAGCACAAATATCGAAATAAAAAAAAAACCAATACAGGGTGATTCAACGGATCAATTTTGTTACATTATATCCAATTTGAATTTCTTCCATTCTTGGGAAAAGGAAAAAAAAGGAAAGAAAAAGAAAAATCTATTAAGTCATATTATATTATTATATTCGATAAGGAAATGTGAGAAATTCATCATCAGTCGTTGATTCTTAACGTGAGAGATTCGTGGACCGTCCGATGAGAATCTTGCATTCCCCAGTTTATAACGTTGGAGAAGCAACTTCGGCCACAAATTTGCTGCAAACCAACGCAAAACAGAACCCCAATTCTCACAGAGCAACAATGGCGGCAATGGTATCTCCATGGGGAAAGCCAGGCGCGTGGGCCCTCGACTCGGAGGAACACGAAGCTCAACTTCTGAAAGAAGAGCAGGAGCAGCAGAAACAAGCGGAGCTCGGCCTGGATTTCCCCTCCCTCAACGACGCCTTGGCCACCAAGCAGAAGAAGAAGGGCCAAACTCTCTCGTTGGCGGAGTTCAACGCCTATGGCGGCAGCGGCACCAGATCTTCCGCTCACACCGCTGCGCCCCAGGGCCTCACGCATGAAGATCTCATGGTGCTTCCCACCGGCCCTCGCCAACGGACGGCGGAGGAGCTCGACCGGAACCGCCTCGGCGGTGGCTTTAGGAATTACGGTACGAATGGTTCGTATGAGAGGAATAATAGGTATTCGATTGGGGATGATTCGTCTAATTCGAAGTGGGGTTCGTCTAGGGTTTCTGATGAGAATCGGAGGAACAATGGCGGGGGTAATAGGGGGGATTCGGGTAGGGAAATTGCACCTTCTCGGGCTGATGAGGTCGATAATTGGGCCTTAACTAAGAAACCGATGGCTGCAAATGGATTTGAGAGGAGGGATAGAGGAGGAGGGTTTTCGGATTTGCCGTCTTCGAAAGCCGACGAATCAGAGAGTTGGATTTCCAATAAGAGCAATGTTCCATCGGATGTGCGGAGATTTGGGACTAACGGCGGATTTGAAAGAGAGCGACGAGGAGGTTTTCCGACGGGCGGCGGAGGCGGTGCAGATTTAGAAAATTGGGGGAGGAAGAAAGAGGAAGGTAATAATGGTGGCAGCGTTGCGGGTAGGCCGAAGCTTAATTTGCAGCCACGGACACTGCCAGTGAGCGATGGGAAGTCGTCAGAGATATCAGGGACGGGGCTGGGGGCGAGGTCGAAGAGTTCAAATCCATTCGGAGAGGCGAGGCCGAGGGAACAGGTTCTGGCTGAGAAAGGACATGACTGGAAAAAACTCGACGAGCAACTGGAGTCGAAGATCAAAGACGAGCAACCAGAGAAGGTAGAAAACTCTAACAGCACTTCCTTTGGAAAGAAGAGCTTTGGCCGGGCATCTGAGGACCGAACAGAGAGGAGCTGGAGGAAGCCAGAGTCGACATCGGAGTCACTGGAATCTCGTCCCGGCAGGTTTGTTCCAGCATCCAATTTCTAGCTTTATAACATAAGTTTCTTCCCTTTTGTTGCCATAATCACATCAGCTAACTTCACAAAAGTATCTTGACATTGTTCTATATTCTGATATGATCTCACCTGATTGTTGCTTTACAGTGCGGAGGAGAATGAAAATGGAGATGTTGAAGGGGAGTGTGAAGGGGACGAAAATGGAGCTTGATGGGATGAGATGATACAGAGAGATTGAAGTTAGTGAAAGTTTTGGAGTGATGAGTGATGACAACATTCTCTAATGTTGTTCTGATCCTTTATAATTTTGCCTCTGAGAAACAATTTTGATATGGTGGTGTTGGGGAGTTCTTGAGTCAGTTACTGTAATGTTTGAAGCCAACTCTTGGAATTAGAAACTACTACTGCTATTGTGCTAGTTAAGTTTAAGATTATTGTTCTAATCTTATCCCACTTATTGTTTAGAGTTGGCTTGCTTTATAACTGGATTTTATGTTGGATTTTAGAATGGGAAAAGAACTTGCTCTGTCTTCTCCATTCTGAATCTCAATGGAGTTGGTGGTTTGTTTTCTTGCAGCTCATCGGTTGAAAACAAAGGGCACCATCCATGGAGCAGGACGCAGAGTTGCCACTTTTAGCTCTGTTCCAAGGCATGCTAGGATGATGGGTAAGTTATCAGCTTAGTTTTCAAGGTTAAAATATTAGTTTCGTAATGGATTTTCAGCTTTGATTCATTTTGGATTCTATATTTTCAACTTTGGTTCATTTTGTTTGAATGTTCGTTTAATGTGAATGTGAAAAGTGACTACTTTGATTTCTATTTTCAAAATTTTAACCCAATTTCTCAACCTAATAAAAGCTCTTTAAAATGAAATCATTGTTATATTTTGAAGAAACGTATTGAATATAGTGTCAAACTGGATATAGATAGATGCTCGGTTGATGTAATGGGCCTCGCTGAAAAGGGCCAAATAGGTATAGTGGGCCTCTTCTTGCCGATCAAAGCCCAAAGGGATGCTCTGTTGAGTAATTTTCTATTTTAATGAGTTAAAAATAAAAGAAAAGGTCCTACCGGGAGTTGAACCCAGGTCGCTGGATTCAAAGTCCAGAGTGCTAACCACTACACCATAGAACCACTTCATTTGGTGATGCAACTTGTACAAAAAAACAAAAAACAAATAGGGTTATGGCTAATTGAGAGTAGAAGATACCCGAGTTCGATCAGTTAAATCCAACGTTGGAGAGGAGAGATTGAGAGGTAGAGAGTGAGAGCGAGAGTTTTAACTGGTCAAAGCATTTGTCTAATATAATCATAAAAAGTTTAGAGATTATGAATATTTTAAAAGGAAGAGTTTGTGTAATTGGGTGAAATTTTGATTCTTTCCTTTCTCTCTTCGTTTTGAGCCATCTTATTTTTGCTGAAGAAAATAAAAATTCCTTTTCCCCTCATTTTTGTGACTCATGTTTCGATAAGTCGGTGTCGATTTTAGTTGATTTCAATCAATCGGAATGAAATGAAAAGATTATGAGAGAGAAGTAGAATGGAGAATAAAAGAAAGCTGAGGAGAAAAGAAAAGAAGAGTGAAATGAGAGAAAGAGGTGAAGGAAAAGAGGGAGAGAGTAGGAGAGATTGAACTTGTTTATTTATCTCATCATTAAATATCTATATGGATAAATTATATATACACACTGAAATATCATCACAATTGTAGGGGTGAGAATTATTTGAATCTAACAAGTTCTAGAGATGTAGTGCTAATTATGATCGATTAGATTAATCATTTTTAACTTATTTAGAATTAATAGTAAAATGATTATTAGTTAATTTAAATATTTTTTCAAATTTTTTATTTTTATATTTTCTCCATAAACATTCACTAACATATATTTCCATAAAATTGAGATCTCGACATTTTCATTGACATCGACATTTGAAACCTTGTCTATATCATACAAATTTGGGAAACAAAAATATTACACAATAAAAAAGGGTTTAGACATCATTTTAAAATTATATCTTATTATATTAAAAAACATATTTATATAAATAGCATAAAATAAATATATATTTTCAATTGCAACCAAGCTTGAAACTTGATCCATCAAGCAGTCTCACTTTCTAGGTTCTTTTTTTTAGGGTACCCGAGAACATATCTAGTGGAAATGGGGTGAAAAAGCTCTAGCATAGCTCTTTCTTTCTCGGGTCTCCTTTCAAAGGAAAAAGGCTGGTGCAGTTAGTAGCTAAAGGTTTCACTCAAACATGTGGTCTCGACGCGAAAAGAGCTTGCTTTCTACTTTCTACGTCTGCATTTTGTGTCCAGCCCGCAAAAGGGAAAATCGTGGAGAGATGTATCATGTCAGGATTCGTTGCTCAAATTGAATCCTTTCTTTATCATTGTTTCTATTCGTATTATTTGTAACTTGCCACTTGATTTGATTCGACTGAACATCTCGACCATTAACGAAAATTTCACCCACATCCGATAGGTTGGGCGCTCGACCAGCTTACAAGTTGGAGGAGGCTCCAACTATCCTTAAATTTTTTTTAAAATAACATAATAAACTCAAAGTATGATGTGTGTATATATAAAAAAAATGTTAAATTCTATATATTTTTAGTTAAATTAAATTCTCAACGGATTGTCCAAGAGACTAGACAAAGTCAACTGTCCAAAGCCTTTCCTTTACAAATCCCAACGGTCTCCCAGTCTCTGTACGCCGCCGCCGTCTCCGGCCACCGCGCCACTCTACGAAAATGCTCGTCTTCTTCCTCGCAGCCTTCTTCCTCTTCACGGCATCCAACTCCTCCCTCTTCCCCATCGACGAAGCCACCATCGCCGATATCCACAGCGCCTTCTCCCAAAACCACCTCACCTCCAGGCAACTCCTCGATCATTACCTCAACAAGATCGACCTCCTCAATCCAGTGCTTCGCAGCGTTCTGGAAGTGAATCCGGACGCCAGAGCTCAAGCGGAGGCCGCCGATCGAGAGCGGGACCTGGCCGGAGGAAAAGCCCTAGGCGAACTTCATGGAATCCCGGTGCTGCTCAAGGATTCCATCGCCACCAAGGGTCCGCTCAACACCACCGCCGGATCCTTCGCATTGCTCGGATCCGTGGTGCCCCGAGATGCGACGGTGGTCGCCCGCCTGAGGAAAGCCGGTGCGGTGATTTTGGGCAAAGCTTCGCTCACCGAGTGGTACGGATCTCGTTCTTTGAAGATTCCCAATGGCTGGTGCGCTCGTGGGGGTCAAGCCCTGGTCAGTAAGTTTTCCAACGGCTGCCCTAATTTTCCGCAATTTCTGAGCCTTCTTTTCAGTAATGGATTAGAATCAATTCAATTCACAGAACCCATATGGGAAAGAAGGGGATCCATGTGGGTCAAGTAGTGGCTCTGCAATATCGGTGGCAGCCAACATGGCGGCAGTGTCGCTGGGAACTGAAACAGATGGCTCAATTCTATGTCCCGCAGATTACAACTCAGTCGTCGGCATCAAACCCACCGTCGGTCTCACGAGCCGGGCCGGCGTTATCCCGGTCACTCCTCGGCAAGACACCATCGGGTATGAAAACTTTAACTGAACCCTTCAAATCTTGGTAATTTTTGTTTCATTTTTCTTTAGAAGTTTGATGGGAGACTGCTGCTGGACAGGCCTATATGCAGGACAGTTTCAGATGCAGTTTATTTGCTTGATGCCATAGTGGGGTTTGACCCAATGGACTCTGAAGCAACTAAAGCAGCATCTGAGTTCATTCCTTGTGGTGGCTACAAGCAATTTCTGAGGAAAGATGGGCTCAAAGGGAAGAGACTGGGCATTGTTAGGCATCCCTTTTTTGACTTGTATACCAACGGCTCCATGGCCATTCCAACCTTTGAACATCATGTCAATCTGCTGAGGTATAACCACAAAATCACCTCTTTTTCTCCATTGACCCACAGATGCTTCGATTTCTTGGTCAAAATTTTAGAGGGAGTTCCTGTCCAGTGAATGTCCTGAACAAAAAGAAGTACTTTTTTAGTTTTCAAAGTTCATTCCTTATTGCACATTAACGAAAATACCAGATTGAATTATATAAACAGAGAATTCTAGAGGTGTAGCCCCTAAGATTTGGCTGACCATGTATTTAGTGAAGCATTGTTAGTGTACTAGACTAGTTGCTGACTTTTTTCCATTTTCCTGCAATTGAAGGAAAAGTGGAGCAACCATTGTGGATAACCTTCAAATATCAAATATAGATACAATTCTGGATCCTTATGGGAGTGGTGAACTTATTGCAACAATAGCTGAGTTCAAGCTCGCCATTAACGATTACCTCAAGAACCTGATCCACAGTCCAGTCAGATCTCTGGCTGACATTATTGCCTTCAACAACAACCACCCTGAACTGGTAAGTTACCTCATTCTGAAGTTGTTTTTCAAAATTCTATAGTAGTAAAACAAATGTTTGGGGATGAGATGAACTATTGATACTTTTTGGGGCATTACAGGAGAAGATGAACGAGTATGGGCAAGACGCCTTTCTTTTATCCGATCAAACAGATGGGATCGGCAAGGCGGAGGAAGAGGCAATTAGTATGATGGCAAACTTATCGAGAGATGGGTTCGAGTTGATGATGAAGACCTATAATCTGGATGCAATGGTAACTCTAGGGACATCAGCTGAATCCGTCCTAGCAATTGGGGGATACCCTGCAATTTCTGTTCCTGCTGGATATGAGGGAAACGGTGATCCATTTGGCATCCTCTTTGGGGGGCTCAGGGGAACCGAAACGAAGCTAATCGAGATCGCTTATGCATTCGAACAAGCGACCATGGTACGAAGGCCTCCTCCTCTGCCTTTTGAATTATTAGATTGCAACTAGAAAAATTTCTAACTGTCTAGTAGGATGTTGTAACCTTTGGAAAAATAAGTTCTCTGCTGGGAGCAATGTTCCTTTTGACTGTATATTTGCTTTCCACTTTTAAGTAGTTGACTAGCTTCCTGTTTCAAATATTATCTCAATGATATTGAATGTGTCCATCACAACGTGGCTACTCCCTAATATCCGGTGGATGCTAATTTGAATATATTTTATATATTTTTTGATATCATGAATAATTTGAATATATTTTATATATTTTTTGGTATCATGAGTATTCATACCAACCTACGTACACCTCAACTAAACCTCACAAGACATATTACAGGACCTCACAACATAGGGTTGTCGATAAACACTAAGATAGCCACTACGAGTTTGAACCCTTGCCCCAATGCCCACCCGTCCATTTCCCGTGCCCCTACTAGGCTAGCTTATGGTAGTTAACTAATTACAATTTTGTTAACAAAAATGGTTGCAAAAAATTTACTCAATTGCTCAAAGTAATTGCCAATGTTTCAGATGTCAGATTACATATTTCTTCCAACTCATCAGTCAACTAAAAATGCCCTTAGATCCCATGGACAAACACAGCATAATATAGCTAATGCTACAAACAGACAAATCCACCGGACATGGACGGCAACGCCCTCCTCCCTCTTTGGACCTCATCAAATCTTCATATTTTTAATGTCCTGTTCTCCACACACTTCTCTTTGTAATCTTTCTATGGCCATGAACCAGAACGGGTACAAGAAAACAGTACTTAAACCAGAAGAGATGAGTATAAAACTTCCATATGAAGCTCCTATATATCATGAAGACTTCCATTTAAGTTTTTCACCAACATGGCCTACACATCCCCGCTTAGTTCTGTAGTCTCGTCATTGCTTCTGATTCTTGTGGCCTTTTGTTTGACTGCCCCACAATCCACGATCGTTCAAGGGCTGTCGATCAGAGAAGCCACCGTGCATGACCTCCAGCTAGCTTTCAAGCAAAACCAGCTCACTTCGAGAGATCTTGTTGAGTTCTACCTAGACGAAACCCGTAGACTCAACCCGGTTGTCCATGGGATCATAGAAATCAACCCAGATGCATTGCTCCAAGCTGACAAGGCTGACCAAGAGCGCAAGGCTAAGAAGCCTGGATCGCTTTGTGGTCTGCATGGAATTCCAGTTCTACTGAAAGATAACATTGGGACTAAGGATAAGTTGAATACTACAGCTGGATCGTTCGCATTGCTTGGCTCTGTTGTGCCACATGATGCGTTCGTGGTAAAGAGACTGAGGAGGGCTGGAGCTATAATTCTGGGAAAGGCTAGCTTGAGTGAATGGGCCGATTTCCGATCTCTTACTGCTCCAGCGGGTTTGAGCGCCAGAGGTGGCCAGGGAAAGGTCAGTTACCTGCTCCAGAGACATTTTCCCCCACATCCAATGCTTTTCAAGTAGAATTAAAGACCATTTCTTTTGTACAATTCTCTTTTCAGAACCCATATATTTTATCAGCATCACCCTGTGGATCCAGCAGCGGGCCATCCATATCAGTTGCAACAAACTTAGCAGCAGTGTCAGTAGGAACCGAGACCGACGGTTCTATCCTCTGTCCAGCTAGTTCTAACTCGGTTGTTGGAATCAAACCAACAGTCGGCCTCACCAGTAGAGCAGGTGTCATTCCAGTTTCCCCTAGACAGGACACGATCGGGTAAGCAATCTTGCAACCATATCAGAAAACTATTGTATAGAGATCAAAAGAACTGAGTCTTTGTAACTTCATATGTGAAAACAGGCCAATCTGCAGGACAGTGACGGATGCCGTAATAGTTCTTGACACCATTGTAGGGTTCGATTACAATGATGTAGCCTCCAGAACAGCCTCAAAGTACATTCCATATGGTGGCTATAAACAATTCCTCAATGCAAATGGGTTAAAGGGGAAGAGATTAGGCATTGTGAGGAGCCCTTTTTTCAGCTTCATCAATGATTCAACCATCACACAGGCTTTTGAGGATCATTTCAACACTCTAAGGTAACTGCCCTAAATCCTTAGCCAAATGGGTTTCTATTCATTTAAACAAAGAGTTGGAATCTATTGACAACTAGAAACCAATTCAATATGAACAACTATCTTCAAGTGGAATAGTTTACGTACCTCTAAAATTATCTTCTTCGGCTGTTCTTCTAGTAAACACTAAATCTAACACGTTGAAATTGAAGGCGAGGTGGTGCCATCTTGATAGACAATCTGGAGATAGCGAATATAGATACAATCTTGAACGCGACTGCAAGTGGGGAAGCAGTGGCGTTGCTCGCTGAATTCAAACAATCTTTGAATGCGTACCTGAAAGAGCTGGTGGCTTCCCCTGTTCGAAGTTTGGGAGACATAATCGCCTTCGATAACGCAGACCCAGATCTGGTAACATAACACTCAATCCATTTTTCTTCGCACAGTAACCGATTTCGTTCGTAATCGATTCGACCCATTGCTGTGCAGGAACTGCTCAAGGTTTTCGGCCAGGAGATCTTTCTGGCGGCGGAAGCGACAAATGGGATTGGCGACGTCCAGAAGGCGGCGCTGTTGAATTTGGCGAGGTTGACGAGAGATGGGTTTGAGAAATTGGTGAAGGAGAAGCGGTTGGACGCGGTGGTGACGCCGGGTTCCGGCATAGCTCCGGTGCTCGCGATTGGGGGTTTCCCCGGAATCAGTGTTCCGGCGGGATATGACGGCGGAGGAGTTCCGTTCGGGATTTGCTTCGGAGGGTTGAAGGGTTCGGAGGGGAAGCTGATTGAGGTCGCATATGGGTTTGAGCGAGCCACTCTGATTCGAAAGCCTCCTTCCTTCAAGCCTTGAACTTTGAAGCAAAGGCTATGAATCAGAATTACTCTTTGAATTCAAATTAATGGTTTTTTTTTTTCCTTTTTCCTTTTTCAAATTCATATATATTGAACCATCAATATAAGATGTGAAACTACGATCTCTGGTATTCGAATCTACACTTCACATATTTGTACTATAAAGACATATATAATATAAAGTTGGAGGTTCAAATTCTTACTCATCTAGTTAGATGATTCATAGCTCAATAGATTGAGATTCATTCAATTAAAGTAATTAAAGTAAGTTGTAATATGATTGTGTAAAATCGAAAGACACTCAACTAAGATGGATCGAGACTTAATCGGGAGAGGTCATAAACTACCTAGTCCAATAGATCACAATTTGGGTCATATGAGACAAGAAGACGCTTGCATTAGTGGGCTATACTCAAACATTCGAAATAGGCTTGATAGAAAAAAAGAGGCAAATTTGTGATTGTTTGGACATAAGATACAACTTGTTAACGAAGATTTTAAGAAAATAATAATTTTGTGCAAAGGACAAATACTTGTTTAAAAAATAAGTTAAATTTGATAACCAATGTACTTTAGATTGTGAAAAACATATCGAGTTTTATTTGTGGCATGAAAAAAAAACATAAGAATGGTTTTTGTACCAATGAAAAAAATACTCTTTTTGAAATAGTATAGAAGAGATACACATAAAAAGATACAATATATAGTAAATTTGAAATTTTTTTGGCAAAAATTTGAATTGAAATATATAGTTAAAGATAAAATGAGAATGGAGAAAAATGGAGTTGTGATGTAATACTGGATAGAGGAGAGAGGAAGAGATGTTAAAAGTTAATAAATAAAAAAGAAAAAAAATGTTTACATGTTATCGGGCCACATAGATAATCAGAAGAAAAGCGCTCCTGAATATTGAAGAGAAAAGTATTTTCCTAAATTCTCTATTAGGAATGTAGTTTTGGTTGATAATCTTGAAATAGTTGAGGTTTGAAGTCTGTCTTGGATTTTGTATGAAAATTCAAGCATATCTCTGTTAATAGAAAGTGTGTTTGATAGATTTGTTGATGGAATATTTTGTTTGAAATGAAAAATCATATACCATAAATAAAATTTAGGATGAATCTTAAGATGGCAATGAACTCCTTTGCTTTTAGAACAATCACCCCCAATTTATACATAAAAAGTGCATCTAATACCCATTGATACGAAGTTTTTGCAAGAAACGACAACATAGTTTAAAGTAACTAAGTTAACTTAGGATAGTATTGAAGATCATTGTAAAGATTAACCTCATCAAGATTGTTTATTACTTCAAGCTCGTTAGATGACGTTCTCATTTCATATTCTCATTTCTAATCTTTTAAAAAAAATGCATTTTTTGGTATTGTTTTGCGATTCACTTTTTAAGACATTCTCGTTGCATCATACATATTTCATATTTTATAAAGAAGCGTTTATTTTTTGTTTTTCCATTCCTCTTACTAGTCTTTCAATAGATCAATGAAATGTTTAGGACCCGTTTGATAACCATTTTAATTTTTGATTTTTCTTCTTTTTAGTTTTTAGTTTTTGATTTTCTGTTTTTAAAAAAGTATGTTTGATAACCATTTTTTGTTTTTTGTTTTTTATAAACAAAAAACCAAAACATGTTTTGTAACCATTTTTAGTTTTTTGCTTTCAAAAAGTTAAAAAATTGAAGATACTATTAGAGAGAGAATTTTATGTAGAGTAGAGTCAACAATGGTTATCGATTTTTAGTTTCTCGGGTCCGAGAGATATTCTCAAAAAAAAATTATCGATTTTGACAATTGTTTTTAATTATTTTTAGAGTTCAAGCGTAAAAAATGTAATAAATATATATTAATTATTTAAAAATTGAAATCCAGGGAAGGATTGAGACACGCATTTTCTATTTTTGGGACCCGACCCTGCAGAAATTTTTGTCTTCCCCTAATTTAGAGACATGAAAATAGAGATGTAAATAAACTTTTGGAAGATAAATTTTAGAGAGATAAATAAAAATATTTAGGGAAAAAAATAGTGAAACAAAAGTTAAAAACAGAAAGAGAAAAATTTTGGAGAAAAAAATAAAGTAAGAGGAAAATATATGTTAAAGAAAAAAAGTTATAAAGAAAGAGAATTTATAGTGGAAACAAATTTAGAGATAAAAACAAGATTCAAAATATAACTTTTATAGAAGATAAATAAATACACAGATAAATAAAAGTTACCGTGAAAGTGAAAGAAAATTGAATGAAAAAATAAAATATAATTTTTAGAGGAAAAAATAGATTATGAATGAAAATAAAAGTTATAAAATATGAAATTTTAGAGAGAAAAAAATTAAGAAAAATATTAAATTTTTAGGGAGAGAAATGAAACTGGTATATTAGAAACTTGAATTTTTTAAAATTCAAGGACTTATTAGACACAAGATTTAAACTTCAAGGACTTATCAGATAATTTTCAAAATTCAAAGACGTGTTAGATGCAAACCTAAAAATTCAGGGGCTAAACATGTAATTTAATGTGGAGGTTGAATATAAGTGAGCTGTCTTAATCAATATTTTAAAAGTAGATTAAGAATAAAAGAAAAAAGAAAAAAAGCCCTTTGGGATCAGACAAGAGCATCAGGCTAGAAGTGATGGTGCCCCTTGACCAGTATGGGCATTGGCATGTAGTAAGCAGGCAAATTCTAAATGGAAGTTTATAATAATGAATGTTGAGAGAAGGAAGATACCTGTTGATTAAAGCTGAATCAAACAAAGCAGCTACGACAAAACACACATCAGCTGAGCTTCCATCTTCTTCAGTAGCTCAGCTGGCCACTGAATATGACTCACAGCTTCCATTAACAACCGACCAGATAGACAACAATTATTCACCTGTCTCACAAACATGTCTGGATAAGTGGCAGCCATCATACTAGCTTGCTTGCTAGCTCCTGAAACACGAGGATAATGACTCAAACAATCTTCAGAATTATCAATTGAATAATCAAAAGATATGGCAGAAGCAAAGTTTGCAAATTTGTGGACTATATCAACTTCATCACATCCAAAAATATGCATTATCAGTAATAGAAACTTCATAACCTGAAAATAAGAAGACTTTGAGAGTTTCATCTTTGCATACGCTGGAGACGTGCCAAGCCAAAGCGCATTCAGTATACTTTTGTGCAGAGTTTAGTGAGCACTGATATTGGAAACAAGATTGCAAGGGAGAGGAGGAATATGATAGTGTACAGTGTAAAGCAAATGAAACTCAAACTCAAAGATATATTTTGCATAAAAGCAGAACTTAATTTAACAAGAAACACAACTTGACCAGTAGCTCAATGAGAACAAAAATACCAAATATCATATCTAACAACGATACCTAAAAGCACTACAGAGGAAGGATGCTTATGGGGGGGTGGGGAAAGATGGAAGGAGCAGAGCTCAGAGTCACTTGCATTCGAAGTTAACCGGTATAAGATGACTGCCAATTACCAACGTTATTACCTATATTGCAAAAATTCAGCTGCATCTGTAACCTAAATTTCATCATTGTCCATGCTGCCAATATTGATAACAACCCATAAGCTTTCTTACTAGAGGAAGGAGACCCACAACAGCCATCTGAAGCTGTTCTGAGCTGTTTAACCGAAGGCTGACTTGCCCTGCCCCCCTGTTATTCAAATTCACACGAGCAACCAGGTTAGTTGATCGTCCAACGGGAACTTGAGATTGTATATTGCAACCAATAGCAAGATCTCCGTGCCAATCCATAACAGAGAGCCCAAGAGTTGAAAGTGAACGACCCAAAGGATAATCTTTGTCTCTCAATTGAGCCTCTAGACTGCCACCATAAGCTACATCTCCCCTACCAGTCATTGCACCCCCAGTCACAACTAAACGAAATCGCTTATTAGCGATCAATTTGTCTTCAACTTTGAATCCTGCAGATAAAGCATCGCCTAATAGAGCAACCGACAAACCGGCAATTGCCTTGTTCTTCCTAAAATTAATAAATGTCGTCTCACCACGTAGTGTATAGGCCAAATCCTTCCCAACAGTCTGCATATCGAAACCAATGGAAGATGCTTTAGCTTCCCCATGTTTTATCGAACTGGTCATCTCTATTTGAACATTCGCATCCTTCTTATCCTTTGTAACCTGACCACTAAAAGAGATGGGTATTGTGTCTTTGACGACAAACAACTTCTCTGCATTTATACCTTCATAACCAACCTCATGATCCCATCCATGTGTTTCGAGTACAGGTCTTATTAACCACTGGTTAGAGGAATCAAGATAACGATACCGGTGAGTGGGATTATCAGAATCAAAGGAAGCAGGTAATGCCAAATCTGGCATGGGAACTGGTACGGATGCAGCACCACCACTATCTTCTTCTACGTTTTCACTGTACTCGCTGGGTTGATCTTTTGCCTCAGCAGCCAATTTCTTCATTATCTTCCTTCTCTTCTTCTCTTCTCTTAGTTGCTTCTTCATAAAAAGTTTTTCCCTATATTCCAACTCGTCAAAGTAGGCCTTCTTCTGTGCTTTGGAGAGCTTTGCTACCTGTGCCTTTGTCAACCGTTTAAAAGGGGGCAGTTCATCATATTCCGATTCATTTTCAGAATCTGACGATTCATCAAGGTCATCCTCGAGACCGTCGTCATCAGCAAACTGTTCCTCTGGCAGCTTCACTTGAGGTCTGGATTGGAGAAGGGAAGAGAGAAGGAAAGGTAAAGGAGGTGACTTTGAACGAGTAGGAAATGGCCTTCCAGGAGGATTGTCTTGCAACTTCAAAAGAGTGTTAGCTTCGGCCAAAATCTTTGATGCAAATGAGAGTAATAGCAGATGAGGTTTCCAAACCTGACCATTAGGCAATACCCTTTGCCCAGCTCTGTTTGTTCTGCAAGCAGAGTGATTCTCCACTAATGAGACAGGATTCATAAGGCGCATATCCCCTGCAGCCTGGCGTATAGCTTGCTGCACAACATGAGAACGCTGAGTGACAAACATATCATAACTAGAAGCGGTGCCATTTGGACCATCAGGTGGAGCAGATGCCGCATGAGTAAGAACCACAATTGCATTGAACCATATTGATGGCCCAAATATTTCAGTAATTGTACGCAAGAGAGGCATGTCACTGAAATCCCGGCTTTGCATGTCCAGTCTATCAAGATACAGAACAATATCTGGAGGTGTCTTCTTTATAAAGCGCTTAACGGAGAGAAGGATCTTCTCGTTTTGTCGCTGATCTGACCAAGAAGAAAGAAGGCCAGGAGTGTCAATGACCCGTACTCTAATCCCCTGCACAGTTCCAACGACATCTTGAACCTTTTTTGTACCCATTTGAAAAGCATCAGTGTTGAACATAACTTCATCAAATATGGAGTTGATGGTAGCGCTTTTGCCCACACCTGTCTTTCCAAGAACCATGATCGTACAAGAGAAATCAAGCGGTTCCTGTCCAGCTGCCTCCAGCTGCTCTGCCATGGCACTGGCACGGTCGAAGCTAAAGGCACCAACTCGACCTCCATTTCTTCCTCGAAGTTGCTCAGCTAATCCAAGACGGTATAGAACCTGAGCAACAACAACATTGTGTGGAGTTTGCCCGAGCCTATGCGCAAGACGCAAAAATTTCACTCTTATCATCTGGAGTTGCTCACGTGTATCATCATTTTCCTCAGCATCACCATTAACAGGATCATCAATTTGTTGCATTTGAACATGGGACACAGTACCATTTACTCGAGGCGGCTGCACCACCCGAGGGGCAGGTTCCAATAATGGAGCAGCACGCCCAAGACCAGCTGGACGGGCAGGAGGAGTGGGATTTGTAGATTTTCCAGATGATGAAGTAATGATTGACGCAGGTTGAATTTCTGGATCCCTATTCACTTGAGTTTTGTCCTGTCCAACCTTATCTTTGCTCTCTGTCTTTTCAAGCTCTCCAGTGTCGGGGCCATTATTGGCACTATCAACAGGATGCTGATGTCTTGATGTATTGTCTTCCTTCACGGTCACGTCACTTTCACTGCCCTGGATCTTCTCGATTTTCTCATCTGCTATCTTTTCCGAAGCTGAGATATCCTTAACTGTCTCCAGAGCAATTTCATTTTCACCCACAGGTTTATGTAGGTCAGCAGAAGTAGTACCATTCAATTCACGAGATTCTCTAGACTGCTCTACTGAGTCTTTCCCAGTAGAAGCATCTTTCACTTCCTCAATCCTGTGATCCTGATTTTTGGTGGTCAGGCAGGTTGAAGAGCTTTCTTCATCTTTATTATCCTCATTCTTAGGATCAATACCAGCAGTAGCCTTTCTTATTTCTTCTTCATTCTCATTTTCTGGCAGTTCCAGATCCACATGAAGAGAATCACCGCCTAAGTCAGCATTTGTAGTATCTTGATTGTCCAAATCATGGACAGCGGGTGCATTTAATGGCTCCTCAGTCTTCTCATCATGGATTGTACCTAAGCTCTTCTCCTTCAATTCCATGTCCCCATTTTCAGTAAGAATCTCACTAGTAGAATCCAGGTTAGTTCCCCCTACCATATCAGCACTCTCACTCACCAATTTGTCATTTGACGGTGAAGTCACGTTCAAATCGTCACAATCTTCATTTTCAGACTTCATACTCATCGAACCATATTTCAAATCATCCTGACCCTCACCCTTCAGCACTTCAACCTCTGGGCTAGCGGCACCATTCTCTGATGTTTCCTTTCCTAAATCATCTCTACTCAAATCCAATTTGTTATCCTTCCTCTCATTCGATTCTGAAGTCATTGCTTCGTCTCCAATTCCTCTCTCGTCAATCTTAGAAGCCACAACTGCATTCTCAATCAATATTCCACTCCCACCCAAGTCTTCCTTCTCCTTCCCAGAATTCCCATCTTGCTCCTCCACCACCGTGTTCTCATTCACCCCACTAGAAGCCTCTATTGCCTCTTCAAACTTCTCTTCATCATGAGAAGCATTAGGATGGTGGGAAGTTACTCCAGATGCAAAATCACGGATTTCTTCATCCACGACACCGCCATTCACCGAACCATATTTCGGACTCTGCTCTATTAAATGCTCCTTCCCGTCTAATACCTCCTCAAAAACACCTTCCCCTTCCGTTTCCTTGGATTCGTGAGAACCAAGTACAACTGTTTCATCTACACTGTCCCGCGAAACACCATCTTCCGCAAATTTCCTCTCTCCAACGTGCAAGCCATCAACAATCTCAACCCCATTTTCCATCACAAATCTAGAACCTCAGCCTCAAAGTCCTACACGCACCAAAACCCAAAAAAGAAAAAAGAATCCGCATCAAACCAACAGAAGATCAATCCACACCAAGAAACAAAGAAAGGCACACTCACACAATCAGAAAATCCAGCAGAAACCCAAAATTCAAAAGACCAAAAAATCGAAAACCCTAGTGCCCAAATCCAAAAATGGACCAAGTTTTTTCACATTTCCAATACCCAAAAATCGCAACCAAATGCCCAACCCCACGTCCTCCTAATACAAATACTATCCCAAAGCCGCTAGATCCTCCTTGAGTAGCAATGTTCCGAACAGGGTTTCACTTTCACAAGAATCAAAGCAAAGCAGATAGACGCCAAACTAGAAGAAAACGAACATCAAATAATGGTTTTCAGCAAAAGCACAGGAACAGGAAACTCACCAGATTATGAAGGTGGTAGAGAGAGAGAGAGAGAACTTTTAGGTAGAGAGTTTTTAGAGAGAGAAAGAGTCTGTGATTTTCCAAAGTATATTAAGAAAGAGGAAAGAAAATGCTTATTCTCCATTCTCTATTGCTTATCTACCTCTGTACATGAAAATTGCGAAGAAATTAGGAGATAAGACTTCCATCGACGGCTCACATTTCATCGCCGCGTTTTGATCCAACGGTGGACGATGCCGGAGTAAATCCATCGTGAAAGACGCCAATCGTGATGACGTGGACATGACGGAGATAATTATCGCCTGTTTCGGTACTAGATTGAGCACGTGTTCAATCGTTCACGTGGGGAGGATCTGGACCGTCTGTTGGTTGCTGGTATGCAAATTGAACGGTGATCGTAGATGCGTTCGAGATTCACGAGGCTATTCCCCATTGGAAAGTGAGAATTTTTCGTGTGAAAAATCATTTCTTTTCCTTCATTGGGATAATAATTTGTCTTCAAAAATAGAAATAAAAAACATTATTGTTAATTTTATTCCCCACTTCAAATAGAGGTCTATTTTGTTTTTTTCAAAACATGTTGATATTTTAGGCTAAATATTTTAATCTCTCTCTTCTACTACATAATTAGAACATAATTGACAATTTGAACCTAATTCAAGTAGTTAAACATACATCTTCAATAAAAAATATAAAAAATATTGTGAGTTCGAATTCTCACTCCACATATTGTATTAAAAAAGTCTAAAACAAAAATGAACTCATAATCTTAAGGTTTGAGATATATGTCAATTACCGATCAGCTATGCTCGCTTTGACACAATACTCACCTTATTTTTATACTTAACCAAAAAGGACTTATGTCTGTATGCCGCATATACCCATTTCGCCATCCTAAAGTTTGGTTTTAGACACTTTTTAGGATATAGTAAATGATTGAAACCCTAATTCATAATTTAAGAACAAATATAGAATGAAATCAAAATACTTGGGAGAAAATATAATTGTTTGGACACATGTCAGGTATGCCAATAAACAAAAGCGAGTAGAAATAATCTTTTAGGATTCTCATTATAAAGAATAATCTTAATTAGAATTATTGATCTTGCTCATGTATACAACTCACGTTTAAAATGTCACTTATCTAATGGAAATAAGATATTAGAGACATATAATGTTGTTGATTTTACATAACCATAATAGTCTCCTGGAAATAAATCAATGAACTTAGATAATATATCTATTACTTCTAAAGGAAAAGTCTATGAGTTCATAATTAAAATCACTTGATAAGTGGACTAAATAGTCCAAATATAATTGGATTGATATTTACATTATTTTTTTTTATTACTTAGGAGTTGGCGATCCTTTTGCCTTTTTATCCCTATACCTGGAGTATGTATACTGTCCATACCCGTACATACGCAAGGGACCGACATTTACATTATTAGTACCCACTTATAAGAAACTCAAATAGTATTAGTGACACCTAAAAAAAATAGTATTAGTGACACAAATATACAGTGAAGTTTGGTTGACACTATAACTTTTGAAACCTCTAATGTGGTAATTTGATACCAGTGGATGATATTCAACTTTATAAACTCAAAATATTTGGTCTTTCCCTTTTTGGCCGGTTGTGGGTGAGGAGGGATTCGAACCCCCGACACCGTGGTCATAGGTTCGAATCCTGTCACCTTGATGTGGTATTCTCAGGGGCCGAAAGATGTGTATAAGAGACAGGGGTACAGAGGGCCATAGGTTCGAATCCTGTCACCTTGATGTGGTATTCTCAAAACCGAAGGCGATTTTCCAATAGCTAAATACTCCGGTTGTTGAAGAACATAAGCTTGGGGATTGTTATCTGGTTCAAGCTCTTCGCCTCAAGGACCATCTTCGAGTCAATCTAGAACATATATCTCGATCGAAGCAAAGGAAAGGGAGTGTTTGGCACATTTGGAAGATGTTAATTAGGAAGCAAGCATCCAAACCAAATGGGAGAAATAATGAATGATGTTATGGGTTAGAAAACAGTGGATTGCCAAACATGACAAGGAGAAAGAAAATCCATAATAAAAAGGCTTTTCATGCACCAACTTGCCTACAAACAGATCAATATCACATGTTTCTAATCTTTTTCCCATACCCCAATAATATAATGGTAAACCACTATATTTTATCCATAAACTACATTAAAAAAAATATATTGGAAGATGAAAATCTTGTAAACTCACTAGTTTCAATAAAAATCAAACTTTATGCAAAAAAATAAATAGGATTAATGCATAAGAGTGAGTGACACTTAAATCAATCACCCAATTTTTGAAGTCTTTTATACTATACATATATGTATTATATTTCGTACTTGAGATATTTTTTTTTTTTAAGGTTAAATCACAAGTTTAGTCTTGAACTTTGTGTCTCGTAAATTTTTGGACTTCTTGATAGGTTCTTAGACTTTCAATTTTGTGTTAGTAAATCTATGAATTTTAAGTTTTTGGTTAAAAAATACTTTTAGTCTTTATACTTTCACTAAAGTAACAATTTAGTCCCTCAACTTTAGTTTGTAATGATTTAGTTCTGTACTTTCAAATTGTTAACAATTTAGTCCTTGAACTTTGATATGTAACAATATAATCCTTGTAATTTAAAGTTGGTAACGATTTAGTCTTTATTGTGAAATATTTTTTGTTAAGTTTCTTGTATGTATGGATTGCTAAAGTAAAGAGGGACCAAATATGTTTATGAATTAGAGAATATTCATTTGTTATATGATAAAATTTAACACCTAATTTTAATAAAAAAAAATTACGATAGAGACTAAATTGTTACAAATTTTAAACACATGGACTAAATCGTTACAAGTTAAAATTTTGGGACTAAATTGTTATTTTATGAAAAGTACATAGACTAAATCGTTACAAACTGAAATTCAGGGACTAAATTGTTACTTTGGTGAAAGTAAAGGGACCAAATGTGTTTTTTAACCTAAGTTTTTTAACTTTTAATTTTGAGTTTACTAAGTCCACGATTAATTCAACCTTTTTTGAAATCAACAAAAATAAAGATATACAATTGAATTTTGTGTGTAATAGAATCCTAAATTTTAAAATTTGTGTCTAATAAGATCATATTTTACAAATGCCAAATAGATTATTAGATATAAAATTGAAATTTCAAAAACCTATCAAATATTTTCAAAAATTTATTAGACACAGAGAATTCAAAACTTATAAATTAACCTAATTCTAAAAATTTTAGGATAGAAATAAATACATCTTGCTTTTTTCTTTAATACAAAACTACATGCGAGGATCTAACCTCACAAATTTTTTTATCGAAAAATATATATCTTAGTTAAATCTTGACAAATACATCATTTAAATTGAAAATTTTCTCTCTCATGAAAATTTGAAGAAACTAGAGATGGTACAAATTTTCAAAAATATTTTATTCTTAAAAAAACAGAAATTTATAAGGGTAGGGTCCAACGGTGGCTTCGGATCCGTCTCCCCGATCGGAACGGTCGCTGCTGCCCGAATGTTCTCTTCTGCGATGAGCTGCTTCTACGCCGCCGGCGCTAGCTCGCTATAGATGAATGGGTTTTCTATCTCACATGGTGCCCCTCTGCAATGCCCTCTTTCTCTTCCCAATCCCTCAAAAAACCCGCTTCTTTTCTTCCGATCAAATCCAAGCAACGCCCCTGTATCGTTCAGTCCCTTCTCGCCCTCTCTTCTCAAGGGCACCTGCCCGAAGCCCTCTCCCACCTCGAATTATTGGCTCGAAGAGGCATACGATTACCCTCTAGCACTCTCGTCCATCTCTTGCGACTCTGTGCGAAAGTCAAGTCCTTCAAAGGAGGCAAATGGATTCATTTCTATTTGAAACACACGGGGTTGAAGCGCCCCACCACTATTGTAGCCAACCATTTGATCGGTATGTACTTTGAATGCGGCAATGACATAGAGGCACGCAAGGTGTTTGATAAAATGTCTGCGAGGAATTTGTACTCTTGGAACCATATGCTTGCTGGGTATGCTAAGTTGGGGAACATTAATCAAGCTAAGAAGTTGTTCGATAGTATGACCGAGAAGGATGTTGTTTCGTGGAATACTGTGGTTCTTGCTTATGCGAAGAAGGGGTGTCTCAATGAAGCTATTGGGTTGTATAGAGACTTCAGGAGACTCTCTATGGGGTTCAATGAGTTTAGTTTTGCCGGTCTTTTGATTCTCTGTGTGAAGATCAAGGAATTGCAGCTCGCAAAGCAGGTTCACGGGCAGGTATTGGTTGTTGGGTTCTTGTCTAATGTAGTGCTTTCTAGTTCTATTGTTGATGCATATGCAAAATGTGGAGAAATGGGGTGTGCAAGGAGATTGTTTGATGAAATGCCGGTGAAAGATATCCTTTCGTGGACCACAATGGTCTCTGGATATGCTAAATGGGGTGACATGAATTTGGCTAGCGAATTGTTTCACCAAATGCCTGAAAAGAATCCTGTCTCATGGACAGCTCTGATATCAGGCTATGCGAGAAACAGTTTGGGGCATGAAGCACTTGATTATTTTACAAAAATGATGACGTTTCGTATTAATCCCGACCAATATACATTTAGTAGTTGTCTTTGTGCTTGCGCCAGCATTGCTGCACTAAAGCATGGTAAACAGGTACATGCCTGTTTGATAAGAACCAATTTCAGATGCAACACAATAGTCGTGAGCTCTCTCATTGACATGTATTCAAAGTGTGGCATGTTAGAAGCTGGCTGCCACGTTTTCTACCTTATGGGAAACAAGCAGGATGTTGTTTTGTGGAATACAATGATATCTGCCCTGGCACAACATGGTCATGGGGAACAGGCTATGCAGATGTTCAATGACATGGTTAAATCGGGTCTAAAGCCTGATAGGATCACTTTTATCGTGATTCTTAGTGCGTGTAGTCATTCAGGTCTCGTGCAAGAAGGACTCCGGTTTTTCAAGGCCATGATGTATGATCATGGTGTTCTCCCTGATCAAGAACACTATGCATGCTTAATTGACCTCTTAGGTCGAGCTGGATGGTTTATCGAGTTGGTAAACGAACTAGAGAAGATGTGTTGTAAACCCGATGATCGGGTATGGAATGCCTTACTTGGCGTCTGTAGGATACACGGTAATATAGAGCTTGGAAGAAAAGTGGCTGAACATGTAATTGAGCTGGAGCCTCAATCTTCTGCAGCTTATGTTTCTCTTGCAAGTTTGTATGCTTTTCTTGGGAAATGGGAGTCAGTAGAGAAGGTCAGGGAACTAATGGAAGAGAGATTTGTGAGGAAGGAGCGTGCAATTAGTTGGATTGACACTGGAAATAAGGTCCATTCTTTCATTGCATCTGATAGATCACATCCATTGAAAGAAGAAATATACTCGCTACTGGAGCAATTAGCCAGCCATACAGAAGAAGACTTTTCAATCATTTGAAAAAGAGGCTGCTAAAATTATCGGCATGCAGGTTGTTTTTAAGACGACCTGTTGCAAAGTCTACCCGTTAAGAATGAAAGTTGCTGATAAGTTCCACACAGAATGTGTTCTCTGTTGGGAAATTTCACCCAAGTGAATCTAATACATCGGGTGATAATGATCCATATGACACCAGAAATTTTTTTCTGAGGCTGACATTTTCCTAATAAACTCTTTGATCGTGATTTGTTTATCTCACTGGTAATCAATAATAATGGCCAGAGTTAGTTTCTTGATTCCACTTTTTGTTTGTATAGTTTATGTTGTGTAAAATTTGGTCATTGTAGCTTTTAGCCAAATTTCCATGATTTTCTTAAAGGGGCGCTCACCAAAGGAGGTAGCACCTCAAAATGCTTCAGGATGCTCCTTCATAATAACAAAAATCACATGCGATAGCATCGAATAAAAGTTATCGTAGACTTTACATAGCGTTTTTGAGATGCGGTGATAGGCGATGTTATGGAAAGTCTCAGACTTTTTATAGCATTTTTTCATGCAATGTTAAATGTTATAAAAAGTCTACTTTTGATTGCATAATTTTTTTTTTTTATAAGAAACTTTCTTTGGATATATCAAAAAAAGGAAGACAGACTAAAGGTTGGGTAGAGGAAACCCCACCTAAAAAACTAAACAACCGCGAGGTAGCGTTTTGTACATTCCTACAAAAGAGATCAAAAGTATTGGACTTATCTTCAAAAACCCGATAGTTTCTTTCGAGCCAAATATGCCAAATGAGAGCTCTAGAGGCACAACACCAGATAAACCTTGTTTTCTTAGGGAGGGTCCAACCATGAAGAGCTTCAGGCATCCAATCTTCAATTTGTCTTGGAAATGCCAAATCTGTGAAGCAAATTGGCAGTGCAGAAACATGTGATCCATGTTCTCACTGTGCTTCATACAAAGAGTGCAGATCCAGGGGGACAGTGTCCAGTTCCTACACTTTCTCTGGAGTTTATCATGGGTATTCAAACTTCCATGGACAAGGGACCATAGGAACACTTTTACCTTCTTTGGAGCCTTAAATTTCCACACTGCCGAAATAAGAGGGGACCTCAAAGAGGAATTCAAAAAGGCTGAACGAGTGGAGAACCGACCATTTTTGTCTATGGACCATACTACTGATCCTCACCTTCCCCCAGTTACACCACATCAATTTCTTGAATAAGCCCCATCCAGCTCTCAACCTCCCATTCGATAATTTTAATGTCATGAAATATTTTCATGCCGTATAATTAATTTTTTATAGCTTTAAAAATAAATTTAACGCTATGGTAGACATTCTATAGAATTATACATAGCATCTAATAAATGCTATTATAAATATTGCATAACGTTTTTTCATACGTCATGGTAGTCGATGTTATGGAAAGTGACTGGCTTTTTATAATATTTTTTTATAATTATGTTAAATACTATTAAAACTTGAATGATTATGCTATTATTAACCTTTTATAGCAATTATAAAATAATATGACAAACTTTCTTTTAACTTTACGAAAATGCTATAAAAAAGTTTTCATAACTTTTTTTTTTCAATTCAATTTTTAGTTATATTTATAGTATTTTTCAAATAATATCACAAATTCTATCATTGTTCGAACCACAAATTAGAAATACTTTTCATAGTTAAGCCTACAAAGTATTAGAAATTTTAAAGTACATATAATATAAAATCTTCAAATTTCAAGCACATATCAAATTAAGTAAATATATAATCTCAAATAACTTCATATAACTTTTAGAATGCTATAATACATATACAAGTATAAGTCCAAATTCATCCCAAGTAAATATACATGAAGCTAAATAAATTACATAAATCTAAAAGACATTTCAAGAAGTTCGTTGTTCAAAATATTGATAGATAAATATATCCAATGAGAAATGTTGTGCAAGTGTGTTATCCTCGCTAAAAAAACAAACAAACAAAAATAACATATATTTATAAGATCATACTTTATTTTTGCCGTCAAAATAAACGAAATTAAACTCAAAATGAAATTTGCTGACATAAATATATTTTCTACTTTATCAGTAAACCCAAACAAAAAGTTATACTAATAAAACTTAAAAAAAATAACAAAAATTGACATCTGAATTGTGATTTTTGAGATATGCATGCATTCATTTTTTCTTTGCTCCTCCCAATAACTCATGAAATATATCTCCAACACTCAGCTACTCACTAGAAAAATAAAGATAAAATGCAAGTGGTAAGAATCAAAAGAGTATAAGTAATTCAAAGTGGGCTTTAATCTCTAAGTTAAGAGAAAATCAATTGCAAACTAATTACAACAACAACAGTAATGTACATGGATATAACTATAAAACAAAACAGTAAGGAAGAATCACAATCAAAGACCAAGAAGAAAATCTAAGCGAAACCATATGTTAATATTCAGTATCATTTATCATTCCAGATTTCTAAATCATCTCCAAGTCATAGGATTCAACGAGAGAATTCTATGAATTTCGTGCACTAATGCATGACCAGTGCAACAACTTTCCCGCTTCGGATGAATGGGAATATTTGATGGTTCACCTAATGTATATCCATTACAAGACTGACAAGCTACCCTTTTGAGCACAATCCCTGGTCAATCTCAAGTTTCAGTCATGAAACTACTTAAAACTGTTCCAACGACAAATGATCAAATTCTAGAAAACTATCTTTTCATCCAGAGTCTCTTTTAATTTCAATTAATGATAGTCACCTTCTCAAGATAAATAAATAAATAAAAGGTACTTACTGGATGCCAAATTTTAGTAGAGATCCAAAACTTTACCCATTTTTTTGACTTGGAAAGCCAATAAATTTTAACAGTAGTGAAAGAGTAAAAAAACCAAATAAAATCAATCAATCTAGACTAATGAAGTAAATAGATGAATTTAAACCAAAAAAAATGGTAGGAAAAGTAATAAATTTTCTCTTCAATTTCCTATGACATCAAACCATAAATCATATTACTTTCTGCCATTGGGAGAGAACAGTTGGTCAATAGAATTATTAAGATTAAGAATGATACAAACGAGTCTATTTAAAACAAGACTTATAATAATGTCAACATCCTAGCTATCCAAATCAACTTATGTGCCAAAGAGTTGCAAGATCATAACTCAACACATTCTTGACACAGTCTAATTCAGGTCAGGCCGTAGAGTGAGAACAAGAACTTCACCTGGTTTTTATAACCACTATGCAGTATTAAGAAAAGAATTACGGAACACTAGAGATTATTAGAAACAAAACAAAGACTTCCACGAGTTATAATACAACAGTCTCACAATCTGAAAGTAGAGAGAGGATTATGGAAGTGAAGGAACACTAGAGGACTTGTAACCCGCCAAAACACAAACAACTAGATTACCACATTGCATACTATAATCAACCTGTATTTAACAATGTTAGGTGCATGGACAAAAAATAATTTAAAATGATTTAAGTATAAATTTATCTAGATGGGCTTACCGACAAAAATAACAGCACCATCAAAAAGCTTTGCAAGTTCTAAAAGAGTTTTGTTAAGGTATCTGGGAGACAAGTAATCCAATGCATCTAAAATAAAATAATGACAACGAGAGAAAATGACTTTACCCTATATGGTAGGAGCATCAGCGTCATCCAAGTCATAGGGCTGCACACCCCATGCTTACATATCCTCTTTTTTTAATAATCCAGACACAACTGAACAAGTATCAGGCCTAGATTTAGTACTTCTTATGCATACTATTCTCCATATGCTTTCTTTAAATGAACATAGCTTGCTGTATTTCTGGTGTGCACGATACACCACTTGCAGATATATGCTTGAGAGATTCCACCTTAGAAAATTTCCAATATTCATAGTACTTGATTAATGAAATGAGACTTTTATTATTCAGTAAAGTTGGTAATGATTAAACAAAAATAAATCAATCTGAACAAGATAAATTAATTTTTAATTCTTTTCCATGCATGAGAAACATTAAGGTAGAATAGCTCTTTGCAACATAACGCAAGGCATAAAAACAAAGAGTGAGCCTCAATGCACATACAACAAATTAAAAAATATAAAATACATTGTCAAACGGGACATTAAAGGGGGAAAGAAAGAGAGCTGTTGGTCCCGTGTCATGGACAAGTGAACAATAAATAAAGAATTCTTGTTCTCAAATAATGGCAGGGATGGTGATGGTACCTAGTCTGTTGACTCGAAAGCTTATGGCTTGTCAAATGGAAAGGTTAAATGTTTATCTTCAATGATGCTTGTTAAGACAGACATTGCAAAGAAAAGAACATAAAAGGTAAAATACAAATCTCTAATTCGAAAGTTACCATCATGTTCATTTGGTTTGAAACGACAGACTACCTCTTATCCATAATAGATTTGATAATTGATAGTCAATAAATTCATAAATATTTGTAACAAAGATAACCTCAGTCCCCAAGGCACTGAATTCTCGCTATGAAAAAGGGTGAACCTCATTGTCTTAACAAATAGCAGTATATCTTATATATTAAGAAATGACTAAATGATATTGCATAAGGAAAAGCTCACAACGGCCATACATCTTTCATTTTGTCCTTTAATTGCAACAATTCTCTTGATTTCCCGTTATGGTTTTCCCTTTTTTGTTACTGTTTTATGATTTGTGTAACTAAGGTATATGTTCCAATCAAACCTAGATTCTTGGATCTTGATTGAATACATTCCGCCTCTCTGCAATTTGGCGTAAACAGAAACATCAGCTTGTGTTTATCATTTAACTTCCTTGGGAATTATACAGTAGAAAATATTAGAATCTCACTACAACCTTATTCAATTTTTCGATCCTAGACTCAGATTCTTACTCTAATTCATGCTCAATTATATTTACTCACAACCATTTAAACAACAGTGGAATTTTATCCCATTACATCCATGACCCAACCCTTGGGACTGTCTTGCCATTTTAACATATCACCTAAACTTCAAATAGTAACAGTTGAGAATGTATCTATACATTCTAAGGTAGGTAATGTGCAGTAATATAGGTTCAACATCTAGTAGCCAAGTCATGTAGACTAGTTCAATGCCTACTGGAAAAGTAAGTAGAAAAAATAAAAAAGCAACCACTTATAGTAACAGCTCAAAATGTATGCAGATACATTAAGTACATATCAGCTGATTTGCCCATTCTCTAAACATATAAAAACTTATATTTTCTCTCTTAACCATTTGTCATTCAAGGGCTACAACCATTTATCCTTAATGTTCCTAAGTACACAATAAAGCAATCACTTATGATTTGTGTGAAATATGTTTTCTTTACATTTTTACTTTCTAAAAAGTGAAGCTAGAATGTGAAATGGGTTGAAAAATTAGGCATAAAAGAATTAAAAAGAAGGCAGAGACAAAAATTATTGAGAAATAAAATAAATGAAGAAAATATTTATCCTCGACTTATTTTTGTGGGTTTGTATCCTGTTAGATGCAAAGCATTTAGAGTCACTATGAACCAAAATAAAAATAAATAATAAATAAGAGAAAAGCTAATAAACCTACACCATAAAACCAACATATTGAGTATCTCACTTGGTTCAAACACCTCACCATATCCTAGTGAAAAAGAAATAAACGGGATAATATGACTGAGTCCCCAATCTTCTTAAGCGGAAAGCACAAGCGACCAACAAATTGAGCCATCAAAAGTTTGTAGAAAGTTCAAAAGTTTAAATCCTATGTGAGAAAGACCAAATAACCAAACTAATGTGGAGCACTTTGATAGAAATTCAAGAATCGAACAACTAAAATAAAAAGTAAAGAAAAGTGGAAAATAAAGTTTGATGCCTCTTCAAAAGATAGTACCTCTTGAACGGCAATGACGCCCTTCAACTCTGACGTGGAATGTCATCTTAGACCACCTATAAAAAAATGAAGACATGTTTTTGAAGCGTTAATAGAGATAAAGGGGGGAAAATGAGAGAGAGAGCAGTAAGGGTTTCAAGGGCTTGAAGTGAACGAGCCAATAGGGTCTGAAGGGCTTGCTATCAAACCAAAATTTGGTCATGTAGCTTTTAGCCAATATTTCCATGATTTTCTTAAAGGGGCGCTCACCAAAGGAGGCAGCACCTCAAAATTCTTCAGCTTGCTCCTTCAGAGAGCAATCTTAAGGCTTTTCAGTAAACCAATTTTTTAATAATCTCCTACTGTAGAGTGAAATACAGTTACTTCTTGCTTTCAAATTGTCATAAACTTTGAGTTGTCCTTTCCTTTTTGTGCCTCATTTATGTCGTGTTAATATTGAAGAAGAACAAGTAATAGTTGCATGATTCACCTTATTTCAAGACAAAGCTAGAAGGATGGCTCCTTTGTCATTACAGGGGACCTATATATACAGGAATGCAAATTGAAATCGAAAGAATTAGACGAAACTGGTTGAACCGAGTCATCGACGTGCAACGATCGCAAGATCCTTGCAGTTGGGGTGGATTTAGTTTAGAAAAAAGTTTTGCTGAAGTCGCTTGCTCATTCAATAATGTCAAGCTCCCAATCATTTTATATTGGCTAGAACATAAAAAACTACATCGCTATGCCAAAAATGCCACCACCCACAACCAGCCTACCAAACAACAAACAGAAAACAGTCGAAGCATCAGTTGACCTAATAGAACACAGTCAGTAGCATCAGTTGACCTAATAGAACAGCCGAAACTGAGATGCATCGGCATGCCGAGCAGGATGGGGGAGGGGGGACGGAGGGAACAAAGGGAAACAAAGGAGCAGAAATGTGATATAACAAAGTAACAGTGATTCTTAATAGAAACGAAGTTCATAAAGATTTAGCAATGTCTTCTGTTAGAAACTTGGAAAATTCTGCGCTTGTTCATGTGCTACATATAGGAAACAAACGAGTAATAGCACAACACACTGTGCCTGTTCTTACAGATTCAATTCAAGCTTCAAAAGCTCCAAAAAATAATTATGCTCGATAATTAGCACAGTGATTGGGGTCCGGGGGACCAGGGATCGGGCCACGGGCTTCTCCCACATCATGGAGTTTAACAAGTATTTTTTGTTGAGGCAGAGGGATCTCTATGACACCTTTTCTCTACAAGATTCAGCTTTCAGGAATTCCTCTAATCGGTGGAAAATCAGTGAGAACATGCCTGCAAGGAGTGGCATATACCATCGTAATATTGCCAATTCCATTGGATCATACATATTCAACAAATACAAAATCCCGTTTAGATTCTTGGCAATTGGGGGAGAAGGGTTTTCTCCTGTAAACTTTAGAGAATATAATAGGGAGATTCTGAACTCAAATGATTCATACGTTTGGCCTGCACATATTCGAGTTCACACGTAAAGGAGAGTATTATATATTGAAACTTGAGTACCTGCAGAAGCACTACTTGAATGATGCAAGGAGCCTTTCACAAGAAGCGTGCCCGGGATCTGCTGAAAGACCTACAACAAAGAAAATTGCTATAGTCAAGTATGGACTAAGCACAAGTGATTAAGTTCCACAATCGAAAAATGGCGAGGCAAATACCGAAACTCTAAAACACAGATTATTTGAGGGTTGAGACTCTGATTCTTTCACAGTTACACAACCAGCACCTTTGTCCACCTGGTAGGCCCCATTCTTGAGAATTGCTTGGCAATGATCCTCAGATGCTGTAATCTACTGAAACATTTGTTGTTAGCATGATATCAATCTACCATCACTTGTAAAGATATAAAAGAGGCCAAGTGAACAACCATACATCTACAGTAAATGAAGAAGTGTTCAGTTTACAAGAAGCTCCACCGGTACTAAGAAAATGTTCAATCGATTGCAGTATACTCATGGCATTAACTCGTGGCAAGAGACCCTGAGCAACAGAAGAATGGCAAAACTGAATTACATATCTACAGTAAAGGATTAATATCTGATCTATACTTTGATCTACAAATCTAAGAGGAATAACATGTGCAAGCACAGTATAAAGATTGAAAAAGCTCTGATCAACTACTGACCTCGAGCATGAAAGACAAGACACTCTTGTTAGTGACATGAGTGGAAATAATCTTCCGTGCTGCGGGCATAAAAGACCAAGCGAGTCCCCACCGGCTAGTTTGGCCTTGGACAAATTCTGTAGTCTTGACAACTGTCACTCCAACCTTCCACAGTTTAGATATCAGGAAGCTGAGGTTTGATTTCTTTCCAATCATTGAAGTATACCACCTGTAGAGATCAATAAGGATAAGAAGATAAGATTCCTAAAAGATATATAGAAAACTTGGAGGTGATTTTACAGTTGTATGAGCAATGAATACCGGAAAGTCTGCTTCAAGACGGTGCTATCTTCAATCATACGACTGATAAATGCCCTCTCCCCACCGGGACAAACCATCTCCTGAAGAGTCCCACCACAAGAAGTCTTTGGATTCAATCCTGCTTCATCCATGCTCGCAAAAAATGGAGGATTGCACATGCAAAAGTCGAATTTCTCACCATCTTTGACAACGTCAAGAAGTATGGGAGGACCATGATATCTCTTCTCCAAGTAGACTGTCTCCGTTAATGAGGATGAGGGTGAGGGCGGCCCTACCGCCCTACCATCCATATCATCTGAATTCTTGGATTCACTATTGACTGCTACACCGTCATGTAATTCTGTAGACAAAGTATTCGAGGTACTATCTACCTTTCGAATTTCAACAAGTTCAGAAACATGTGGATTACTTTTAACATTTGTTTCAGCCCACTCTAGAGCTACATCAGTAACATCTGAACCAATCCCGGTGGAATACAAAACCTGATCATTGTTAAACAACATACAAATCAATGGGTAATATAAAAATTTGAGAACAAGACAAACTATATGGCAAGGAAGTCACCTGTCCCGACGAAACTCCACCCGAGAAGAGAGGCTCCAAGAAGTGGATAGATGCAATTTGCACCAGTTCCTATATCAAAACCTCTTACACAACCTCTATCACTATTCGTATTTGCAATGATATCAGATGACAGAAGATCTTCAAGCCAATGGATATAATTTGATCTATTAGGTACTGTTGGGCAGAGCTGTCCATCAGGAATCCACCTAAAATATCAAAATGACATTTACCACAAACTCAGAACATTCATTTAGAGATGAAATCTAATTTGACAATCAAAGGACTTTCAAATTGCCAACAAGCCAACAAGTGAAACACAATGAAAGGAGTCCCTAAACAAGTTAAAACATCGAATGTAAACATAAAAAAGTAAACCCACATAGAGCCCCCCCCCGTTCCCATTGGAGTTTTGCAACCATGGAGGTTCAAACAGCAGAAACTCTCAAAACATTTTGATTTGGGGAAGATAAAGTAAGGAAACATCAACTGGGATACAGTAATCAAGCGCAAGGAAATGGAGTAGCAGAGAAGTATGGGGGAGAATGATACCAATTAAGGCCATGGTCATGGAGAAGCAAGACCCGGGTGAGCTCTCGTGTGGCATTGAAGTCAGTCCATTCGATTCTGGGTCGAGGATGGAGGAAGACGAAGGGTTGAAAGGAAGGATAAAGAGAGGCTAAGAGAGCGAAATCTGGGGGATTTTCGGCGTATTTGTTTCTGGGGTGGATTGTGAGTGCCTCTCTCGTCTTCCTCTTGTTTCTCGTCATCGCCAAATTTCTCACTCACCGTCTTCTCAGTTCTCGAGGGCTCTGTTGGGTGTTTGCTTCCACTACAACAAAATATATTTTCAGAGACAGACAAAAAACATCGCTGAAAATATTAGCAGACGCGTCTTGGTTCGTCATGGTAGACGTCGCTAATAACGTGTCGTTATAACATTTAGTGACATTACATCCGCGTCGCTAAAAAATGATTATCAATGACTTCTTAGGGTGTCGCTGATAATGGTTTTTAGCGACAAATAAGCGTGTTGCTGATAATTATTTTTAGTGACGTCCTTGTGATGTGCTGAAAGTATTATTAGCGACAAAAAAAAAAGAGATTCAATTTCATAGACAACTTGCAAATAGTTTAGAAAACAATATAAAACAATAGTTCATGCAGCCCTAGCTATTACAAACAGAAATTGAAAGGGGAAATAAGCACAAGCATTTGAAACACTATGAAAGGAAAAGATATAGAGAACATAAGTTATACGACACAATAAACAATCAACATAACCTAAAATCTAACAACATCGGTAAAACTATTTAAATTAGAACAAACTTATTGATTAATGAAATGTACCAAAGAAGCCTTTGAAATTAGAAAGATGATCTCCAATTGGCAATAATCCCAAGTAAAAATGACTAAAAACGTTTTGATGAAGAAGATAAAAAGAAGAAAAAAAACAATGTGATCCACACATCCTATTTACTCGCATTATTTTTAAGTCCAAACATTACAAAGAACCTCAAATTTGACAAAAAGTAATTATTTCATTATTTTTACAACCTAAACATTATCAATTACGTTTTATATGATACATAAGCAATGAGCTACTTTTTAGCCTCAACTACAGTTTTCAATCAATTTAGAGATGAAGGGATAAGGAAGTTTACATCACAAGCATATGCTCAGCTTAGAAATATAGACTACACATACACAACTGATTAATAAAATAGATATTTATGGATGAGTATGAATAAAATAGCTTTTCAAATCTTTATGATTGTGTGTATCATTTCATTTTTTTCAACAGGAATAATAACTACCATCTCTACGGATGCCCATAGACATTCTATATACATATTGTTTTCTCCATAACTCCTCCAATTTCCCTACTTTTCTACTTTCCTGTAAGTTCGTTCATGTATTGTTGACTTCACTGTTTCCTGCAATTGAATTGCTAGATCTGCAGAAAACACTTTGTTATTGCATCTACATCGTTTCATTTTCTTGTTTTCCATTGAGCTTCCCTTACAATTTTATCTCAAAATCCTCTTTACAATATAAACAATCTTAAAAATCACTGGCACAAAAAAAAGATTTGTGATATGCGGTCCACATTTTCATTGTTACAGTGAAATGAAACGAACACACTCCTTAATTCAAATCAACTCAAAGAACAGCAAATACCCAATTGAAAACCAGAACACATTTAGGGTACAATCAAATTTTGAATTCACGAATAAGTAAAAAGAAAAAGGTAGAATGCACACAGAACCTGTTTCAGCAGCGATGACCACACTCACGAAACTGCAATGACAAGGTGACTACGAAGGATGGAAAGAGGTAGCGCCGGCGGTGACAGGCGACGGCAAAGGATGTAAAATGACTAAACGGTGCGGCGGTGAACGATTGAGCAAAGAAGATGAAGATTAAAGCATCATGTGGTAAGCATCGGCTGCTTGGGCCAAAATCTCGAGCTAAAATATTTGGTCGGATCCGTCACAAATTTGAGAATCGGGTGATCTAATTTCTTTACTAAAAATTACAACTTTATCAACCTCTCGCTCTCATTATTATTTATTTTCTACCCCTCCATACATTTTTAATAATTATTTTACCACCTTTAATCTATTTCTCTCCATTTATTCAGGAGAGTAAGACTATAACTATTTAATTAATTGTTTTATAATTTTTCTCTTTCAATTTCGAAGAAAGGTGGTGTGAAAAAAGCTATCGATTCTTAAAGGGTATTAGGGTGAAATATGATAGACAATGGAGAAGTAAACTCTCTTGGAGGAAAATTAATTTTAAGATATAATTGTGACGTTAATTGTTATGTTGTTCCAAATTCTGTCAAAATGTGTTCATGAAAGGTAAAGTGTAGTATTGAAACTTTCGAAATTATAGAGGTGTTTTTGAACAAATAAGAAAATTCAAGGGTATTTTTGTAATTAGTAGCAAAAGATGTATGATGTATGTGATTTTATTATAAAATATTACCCATTTCTATTTAATTTTACATGTTTTTTTAATATGCCTTGGATTTACATATACTATTGTATTATTTTATTAGTTCATCTTTTGATATTTATTATGCATTTTTTTGTAAATGAAAAATGGAATGTCTTAGAAAAAATGGGAAACGAGAAACTTTTTATTTCTAAAATTTCAACATAATTTTATAAACGTTTCTTAAAAATGAAAAACACAAAACATAACAAGTAACCAAATTATTATGTTTCTAAAAACATGGACATGATAAATAAGAAACGAAAATCATTAGGGGTTATTTTGTTTCTGTTTCCTCAAAATAGAATTTTAAGAGTGCTTCTAAAAATGAAAAGCAAAAAGCATAAATAGTTGTCGAATGCTATAAAGGGCATGCAACAAAAAAACAAAAGTAATAATAATTGAAGATATTTTTGAACTTATCATTGATTCGATCATATTTATAATATTTCATTATTTCATTATTTTTTTTCCTTAATTGCCCTAAATATGTGTAAAAAAGGCCCTAAATATGGCTTGAATATAGGCTGCAGGATTTGATTTTGAAAAATTTGATTGATTTTAGATTGTTTCCTTTTTAATTATTTTTTTTTATTTTATTGAAATTTTTTGCAACTTTAGAGTTTCAAATTGAAGATTTTCATTTGTGGAAATTAGATTTTGTTAGGATTCTTTTTTCAGAACGTTAAAGTAAGTTTAGATTTTATTTAAAGTTTAGGGTTTTCTTTTGTTGGTAAGTTTACATTTTGGTTTAATAAATGAAAATCCCTCTGATCTCTCATTTTTGTGATTATTTTTCCATGGCGATAGTATAGTATCGCAATTATACTGAAAAGTGAAATATTTGCATAATTAGTTGATAAAGAGGGGGAAAATATATCGGTAGAAGAATTTATTAAAAAAATTATTACCCATCCGACAACAATGTATAAATGGAAAAAAAAAAACATTTGAATTGTCAGCAGCAATTAAATGATAAAGGTCCACCAACATTTATATATATATATATATATATATATATATTTTTTTTCTGACATATTTGATTGTCCAAAAAAATTTTGACATAATAAATTCACAAATTTTCTTAATTTTCCATTTTTTTTAAATGGACCTAATATGATTTATTTTTCTTCTTAAAAAATAAAATTGATGATTTTATTTTCTTTTATAAAACTCACGAAAAAGCCTATATAGGAAAAATGATGGGGAAATCATTGAATTAAGATTGAACAAAGGCACCGAAAGAATATTAATTTAAAAAAAAAGAGAAAAAATACAAATTAAAACAAAATGAAAGGCAATATTGGAGACTAAGAAATACAAAATACATAAAAAAGAAATAAAAGCACATAGATGCATGCTCAAACACACTAAAGAATATAAAGTATAAAAAGATACGTATTAAAAAAAGACTAAAATATGAATTAAACAAAAAAGGAGAGGGAGATAGAGCTCAGATTAACCACTGTGACAATGATAAATTTTGTAATTTTAGTAGATTATTATATACTAAACATATTATCTAAAAAGGTTGAGGGGGGCTCGGATCCTGCGTAGCTCCTACAGACCAACACGAGTCCTTTTGTTTTGTCCTCACCTACATGCTTTCTAGTAAAGCAACTAGAAACATGCTCCCTAGTAAAGCAAAACTTTTGAGTTCAGATGTGATATCGGTTTATTCTAGTCTGGCGTCACAGATTTTCTAAATATTACATTGTAAATAAGGAAGGTAACTTTTATTATTATTATTTTTAAACATTATATCACACATAAAATGGTGGAAGTTCGAGTGTGTACACTTAGGTACATATACATTAACTAATAAACTAGGCTAGGAACATATACTTTGATGCTACAACTTTTTTATAATCATAAAGGGTGGATTTAGTTGGCAATTTGAACCTAGAAATTTGAAAATAAAAGATTTAATAAAAATATAATTGTATCTAATATTTTAATGTGTTTAGCAGTAAATTTAAAATTTGAAAACACATTTCTATTTAGATAGAATTGAAAACACTGAAACAATATAAATATTGTTTCAAAAACTTTCACCTTTTGGTTCACAAAATTTAAATACAATCAAAATAACTAATTTTAGAAATAAACCCACCCTACAAAAATTTATTGAATTCATTTGATATATTCCATTAATTTTAGCCTCCCTACTTTTAACTTTGGTTCGTTTTAGTTTATATGCAATAGAAATCCTTTAATAAATTTTATGGATTTTAAAAAATTTAGTGAGTGAATTATCATATTTAATTTGTGACATAAAGAATTGAGATAAAAATGAAATTGAAGGTGCAAAATGACCCTTCTTAAAATTACAGATACAAAAGTACATAGACCGAAAAAAGTTGAAAGATCGTGAGTTGTAAGGTATATTATTTTCGACCAAAAGTTCTAAGTTATATTTTCGTCCCCACATATTGTACTTAAAAAAAAGTTGAAAGTATACATATTAAGGGTGCATTTGACTTATTTTGAAAAAAGAGATTTAAGTATAATTGATTTTCTAAAATCATCTGATACTTTATAAATAAAATTAAAGTAATTTTAGATTTTCTAAAATAAATTTTTTAATTTACCAATGGAAAAAGAAGTGATTTTGACCCTGATATTCATTCTTCAAACACACCCTAAAATAGACATTTTATTTGTCAGAAGAAATATATTTTCAAATATAGTAATTAAAATAACAAAAATGGAGAGTTAGATGATGAAAATAATATTTAACATTAATTATGATAAATATAATTGTCATGATCAAAACATTACCAAATAACAAAAACCCTATATTTTGACCATTAATTGACCTTTTGACTGGTCGTGTATCCCTAAACGTCTTTTCACAAAATTTTTATTTCTATAATTTAACAAGAAACAAACGAGTACCCCCCATTTTCTTCCCTTTATTAATTTATTTAATTCTCTGGGCACGCAGTAATATATTATTTAATTTTTTACAGTAATTTTCTAAATAGAACCTCCAACACGACTATTGAAATAGATTTTATCGGTCAACATTATTATTTTATAAAGTATTAATAAACTAAAATAAATATTCCATCTTACATATAAAAGTTGTGAAACAAATAAAATAGAATAATTTAATGTAATAAGTATTACTTTTGTTTCACTATCAATTTTAAAAAAACGTTAAGAAAAAATTTAAAATCTGAAAAAAGAATCTTTCAAAAACGTGCTTTTGTTTTTAAATTTGAGATCAAAAGTTGTGTTTTAGCTTCTAGTAAATACGAAAAACTTAAAAAAAAAGGAAAAGAAACCCAAGATTTTATGAATAAAAAAATACAATTTTTTTAAAAATATTTGGAAACCAACAAAATCAAAACACAGATTCAAACATTTCTCCATTCTCAAAAACAAACAAATAAAAGTTCGACTTTCACCGCATAATTTCACCACAGTAAAAAGAGAAATAAAAAAAGAAAAATGAAGATATTTTGGAAATGGAGTGGGGCCGGGGAGGTGAATTCGCGAAAGTACCCCGAACGGTTAATCTTCCGTCGCAGATCCCAGGGCGGAGTGGTCCATTGGAAGGCAGAGAAAAGGGAGGGCCCTGGCCGTCGGATCTCGTCGGCGACGGCGACAATCGGACGGTGAGCAGAGAGGGAAGTAGAAGA